ATTAAACTAACACGTATTAAATTTTTAAAAACAATTAAAGTATTTAATTATCAACAAACAAACTTAATATAATTAACAACTTTAACAATACAAATTAACATATTATTAAATAAACTAACACTTAATTAAATTTTTAAAAAATAATTAATTTAATTAACAACTAACAAATTAACTATAAAAACAAACTAAATTAAACTAAATAACAATTAAAAAATAATTAATCAAATAACAAATATTCTTAATTTAATTAACAATTACCAAATTAACTATAAAAACAAACTAAATTAATTAAACTAACTAACAATTAATAAATAATTAATTAAATAACATAATTAAATAAACTAACACTTAATTAATTTTTTTAACACATAATTAATTTAATTAACAACTAACAAATTAACTATAAAAAATACTAAATTAAGCTAACTACCAATTAACAAATTATTAATTAAAAAACAAATATAAAATGAATGAAATAAAAAAAAAAAACTTAATTAGTTACCAATTACACAAATGAAGGAGTAGAGAAGGAGGTAGGAGTTGTTGTCAACTTACGGTGAAGAGGTGAAAAGGGAAGAGATGGAGGGGAAGAAGAAAAAAGAGAAAAAGAGAGATTTGGAGGGAGTTCCAGTCATTACTGGAGGGAAAATGGCTTCGAAGGCTGCAGTTGCTACTAAAGAAGAAGAAGAGGAAGAAGAGAAAGAAGAAGAAATGGGAAAAAATTATCGGACAATAGCTTTTTAGGATTTAAGTTTTTAGCGACGATTTTAAGTTATCGCTAAAAACGTTGCTAAAACACTTAATTATTCAAATTTGCTCGTTTTTCCTCCAATGTAACAAATTAACTACGGTTTTCATAAATCATGGCTAATTTTGATATTTAGCTATGGTCTTCATAAAAAAAATCATTGCTAAATGCCTTTTTTCCATTAACTTATTAGCTTTATAGATTTAGCGATGGTTTTCAATAACCGTTACTAAAACCACTCATAATAAAAGGGTTTTAAACAAACCGTCGCAAAAATCCATATTTTTTTGGAATTAGTGATGGTTTAGGTAAACCCTCACTAATTCCAAAAATATTTATCTTTTTAGTGATCGTTTGTGTAAAACTCGATGCTAAAAGCGAGTCATAGGTGACCAAATTAGCGATGATTTACAAAACGTCGCTAAATACTTAATTTTGAGAAGGGAATAGCAATAGGATTTATTAAAATTGCTCGCTATTTTATGATTTTAGTCATAATTTTTTGTACCGCTGCTAAAACCTATTTTTTCAGTAGTGATACATGAAGTATGTTGTGCATTTAGGATGAAGTTTTAAAAAAATAATAACATAAATTTTTTTAAAAAAAAATTTGATCCATAGACTCCTCGAATTGTGTTGATTAAGTATATGTACTCTTTAAATTATTTTGACTGAAATCATATATTATATTCTATATATAACACGTTTCATGCATTTAAAAGTGAACGTATTACGTTAACTCACAAACTAACCACGTTATAACGAAAAAAAAGGAAATAAAAGTAAAAAGAAGAGTTGATGGACTCTATCAATATGAAAAAGAATATAAATTCTCAATTAAAACAATTCAGAAAGTGTAAAGAGCATATATGGGCAAAATCTTGTTGAAAATATTGTTATTTGTGGGTGTTGGATCTATCAATGGATGCTGATGTCTCTAAAAATAAAAATGCCTATGAGAAGTACGTTGTAAAAACTTTCAATGTGTGCGATGATTTAGATTAGCCGGTGTGAAAATTAAAATCTTGCCTCATAAAACTTTATATTTTGTCCAAATTTTAAAAGAAAAATTTTCTTCTCGCTTAATTGAAGAAAATTTATCTTTACCTTCATAATGTTGGTAGTGTTAGATTGAAATTTTCTTCTCGCTTAGTCGAGCTTATCATTTCCTTGGATCAATTTTTTTTTTTTTTTTTTTTTTTTTGGAAATGCTTGTATTATACTTTGAGAACTAGAAAAAATAAGCGGTCATTTGATAAATTACTGTGATTTGTGGGTGCTGATTTATATAAATGCCTTTCTTCTCTCACCAAAAATAAATAAATAAATAAATAAAATTTAGCCACTCATAAGTGTTAATTTAAATCACGCAGGTTGTTGTAACGATTTAATAAATGCTGTATCCATCATATTTAGACTTGAACCAACTTTTCCTCTCCATTTAGCCTAATTTAGCCTAAAAAGATAAAAGAAAAATTATCTTATTTGTTAACTGAAGATATTATTCCTTACTTTTTTCATACGATTTTATGTTAAATAGTAGTAAATTTTAATGGTTGTGCTTATCAGTGTCATTGCCACGTGATTTCACATGACGATCCACGTGTGCAAACAGCAAATGAGTCATCGTAAAGTTAAGAGAAACATTTAAATATAAAAAAAATTACAATGTGACTTATTCAAATAGTAAAAATTAAAAAACATCTATTTAATTAGAAAAAAATTGATATGTTGGTACGCAAGAAAATACAATAAACTTCATTGCTATATGTCTACACATCATTATCACGTGTTGATTGACTAGATCTCACATGCAATTTACATGTGCAGATAACATATGGGTCATCACAAAGTAAACGAAAACACTAAAGGAAAAAAAAAGACAATTTGATCTATTCAAAAAAAAAATTAAAAAACACTCGCTCAATTAATAAAATAAAAAATTGATAAGTTGGTATTAAAAAAATATAATTAACTCATTGTCCTTCAATGTCCAAATATAAAACTAGAAAAAATTTTATAATACACAAGGAATAACTAGCTATACGTATACGGTAGTTACTCCTTATATCTACTTTAAGGAAATAGATAAACACATAAAAAAAGAAAGAAATTACATCCATACCCATCAAAAGTGATAAAGAGATTTTTACGTCTACTCAAATTTTTTTTATTTTCTCTCTATTTTTGTGTGGATGTAAGGATTAAGTCATTGGTACTGAGGATCATTTTCCGAAGTTTTTAATTGAGATGGGTTGATCTGGTTTTTGGTTGCTTTTAATTGATCGTACTTAATAAAAATATGAAATATACGTATTAATATAAAAAGCTTATAATACGACTTAAATAAAAATAATTAACAATTAATATATTGTGAGAAATTTTTACTTTTAAGGTTTTTGCTAAAAAAAAGTTAATTAATTTCTATCTCGGAAATCCACATCATGTAAGGAAAAAAAAAATTACAAATACACGTCCAGATTTATATGGATAGATAAGGCAACTATAGATTTATGATTTTCAGTCTATTTTTCACCAGCACGCCATTGCTATACAAGCTAGGCCAATGAATCAAGGTTAAATTAAGAAATTTTAATCGTTCAACTTTCTAAGATAATAAAAGTGAAAGCAGCATGCACAAAAATCAGCTAGGTTATAACTGAATAATAAGAGCATGGGCATAAAGTGTTCCCCTCTTTGTCTTAGAGAAATGGTCTTGTTTGACTTTTTATACAATTTTTAAAAAATTATTAATTATTATGTTATATTATTATTTTTTTCATATTTTACAAAAATACCTTTTGTGTTAAAAATGATTAGTTACCAAATTTAATCCTAGGAAAAATCTATCCAAATTTAAGGCATTAAATCAAAGAAAAAAATCATTAAGTTAATTACAAATCAAAAAATAATTATGAAAAAATAGCATACCAATGAAAATTTGCTTGGTCCACGTTAGCGTTTAAATGCTCGCCGACTTGAACACCTTCCTTGCTACCTGCCTAATTTTCTTTCTGGATGCCAAAATACTCCTTGCTCCCCAAGTTTCGATCCCACCGACTCAATTTAACTTCCTATAAACAGCCGACACATTGTCCTTCATCATCAAGACATTTATCATTGTTCCTAGCGAATTCAAGCCCCCAATCCGAGTAGTCAGGATGAAGAGAGAGGGACGCCCTCATGGAATGGTCAGGACCTACACGATCATGCCATCTCCATGCAACCCGAAGGCTTCAGACAACAAATTCAACAAGTTCAATACACCTCCAACAGCCGGATTGTTCACCAAGGTCCCATCAAAGCCCACAAACCACTCCAAATTCACCGGAAAATGCAGTAAGCCAAGGTGCATAGAGTGTCACGTGCACCCAACTCGCAAGTCCAAGGAAAAGACCAAGGTATTCCATAAGGTAAAGTCACATGATAGGGACGTGAATTGGGGCGCCGTGTACAGAGCTGCTGGGTTTTCTGTGACGGAGATGCTGGACCATTTGACTACTGATGATGAAGTATTTTCGTAATAGTTTGAACATGGGTAATTGGGGAAATTCACATGGAGGCCAGCCGTGAGGGGAGGAGATGGTGATTCAGGATTTGAAGATTCAAGAATTATAGATGGTGAAAGCTTTTGGTTACGATAATATCACTAATGAAAAAGAAGATGGCGATGTTATATTTGAGTTTTTGTGATGGTGGACCAACATATTGATTCAAGGTTAATGTAATAAGATCAGTTCTTCGAACTAACAATCAAATTTGATATATATATTTGGAGGTAGAAATGTCATTTAAATATTATTTAGCTTTATTGTACTTATTGCAACGTCAATGATTTCTTTCCTTCTCCTACCAATTTTTAGAATCTATCTCTGCAAAGACATTACAAAACTACGATTTCTGAAGCTTCATCATGAATATCTGAATTTTGACATTGGAAATCATTCAAATCTAATTCTAAACGCTTGAAAAATAGAGTGCACAAAAGCCTAAAAGAAAATAATCTTCAGACGAATCGGGTCACAGTAGGAACCACGCCATGATGCTGGGAGACTGTCCTTAGCCAGATTCTAGTTATGGGCACAAATCCTGAATGGACTTTTACACTACCAAAGAATAGAAATTAGAACAGACTCGGTAATTTTACACTGATTGTAACTTTGACATCCGCAAAATTCCTAAATCACTTCTACTCTTATTCAAACAATCTTGCATTCTTACCATCCCTTTTAGGGTCCACCATCACAACCACTCAATCAATGACCTTTGAGACTACCCCTGCTCCAACTGTTCTACCTCCCTCCAACTCCAGGCAATTCAAGTATGACCATGACCAATTCTTTAAAAATAAGTAGTCCTCTACTAGTTCATCCATCTATATATATATATATATATATATATATCGAATTCATGACCTCATCTAGCATGTTTAATCACCCCACATGGTGTACCAAGTATTGTAATCTTACATGTTTAACTAGCCTTCCTTTCCCCACCAAGATCTGATCTAAATCTTAATGGCTCAAATCATTGATCCTAGAATGATCCTGCCCTAGTTCTCCACTCTCAAGTACATTACATTAATTTTAACTTGGCTATTCATCACTTGCTTCTGTTAGCTAAATTGTTCATGCTGGCCTTTACAATATTAATTTTGGAAGTAGGCTGCTGCATTGAAAACTTGTCATAACGGATAGCTAGCCAAATTATATACTAAACTAATGTAGTAGTTTTCAAAGCTTGATGTAACGCCAGCTCAAGAGGCGTTATACAATCCATAAATATCAAAATTTTCAAAAACTCTTAATAAAATTGCTAGCTCAACTAGCATCTAGCATATCTCTTTAAATAGCTTGTGCTTAATTTATGCATCAATTTGCCTAAACACACTAGAGAATGTTAGCTTCTAAGTTAGAAATTTATGAAAACAATACTAAAAACCAAAGCATCAAGATGCTACTAATAGATGGAAAAACATAAGAACACACAATTAGTCTGCAGCATAAAGTTAGAAATCCTTAGTTGCAGAGATGCATTGAAAGGAGAAGAGAAATACTAAGGAGTACTTCATATAGTTATCGTATATCCAATTAGCTAGACGTAACAGAAGCTCACGACCTACAGGTTCATCCCCATGGACATGTCCGATGTACTGAAAAATTGCAAAGAAAAAAGCAGTTGCCTAGTTGCTCACTGCAAATATCACACGTTGCATATATGCATATGCCTGTAAACGGGTGAGATCATTCACCTTGAATGCAGGTTCAGGCTCTTCCTCCCCAAGCTTGTCGGAGATCTCAATGACCCACTACAGTCCTAAGATTTGCGTGTGTTCCCACCTTTCTTGATTCAATGGGCCTACGTAATGTGTAAAGTCCTTCGTTCTTAGCTGCAAAAGGACATGCATAGAGAGGAATGAAGGACAAATAAAGATGCGGTGGGATTCTCTTATGCTTTATTTTTCTATCAGAACAATCTCAATTATACTGACTCGATTCAACAACTCTCAAGTGGCATTCAGCAAAAAAATGAGAAGATAAAATTCAATAAGACTCCTAATAGCAGAAATACAATGAAGCAAACCTGAGAAAAATATATCATAGATAATAAATTCCCGTCTGCAATGAAGCCCAATTTCTTGTACAGACCCTCTGGCTAATTAAGAAATGGAATGTTCTTTTTGCTTAAAGTGGATCATAAAGGTTCACTGTTTTTTTTATGCAAGTTCCATCTGCAAATACAATATACATTCATAATTTGGGTGTTAAACTCAGATGAATTTAACTTAACCAGCAATGGGACAAGTTATTTCTTAAGAAACCATAAAGAACGGCTGAAATGCTGTTAAGGGCAGCTATGAATAAGATTCCAAAAATTACAAAAAATCCACTAATAAAACACAAAATAACTGCGAGATGAGAAATAAATAACAAAATATCTACCAAATGAGAAATTAAGCTTAACAGGACTAAATGAGAGCTAGTTTAGCCTTAAAAATTTGCTAATTCTTGTCAACTGAGTCAGCTCTAAAAGCTGACAGCATCAGCTCTGCTTGTTCCTGCATCAACTTTCCCCTCTGCAGGTACAAGTCCAATTCCGCTTCCCGTAGCTTCCTCCACTTCTCCATCATCTCCGCCTTCTTCCTTCCATGGAAGAAATTCAATCCACTCCTCCTAACATAATCATCCACATTGCCATATAATTCTGAAAAATCTCTCTCCTCTAACCCAGCCCCCAACAACTCCTTACCCCTCTCGTTATTGTTACTCTTCTCACATCTCATCTCAATTCCTTCACTACCCCATAACTTTTTTGACAAATCAAACCACTTTTTATCATGCGGTTTGCTAAATGTCTTATTTTCCCCTTTCTTCCCTTTAACCTGATTCTCAAATTTCTTCTTCGACCTCCAAATCTTATCCTTCAGCTGAGTGATGGACACATCAAAATGTAAAGAGTTTTTAATATAATTAAAAAACTCTTTCATATCCTTTGATGGAGTATAATTTTTCTCTGCTATAAAATCAATTATACCTGACAGCAGAGCGATTTCATCGTCCTCCGTCCACAGCCTTTGAAACAACTTCTTTGTAGAATCCCCAGACTTCTCAGGCTCGCGATCGGCTCCTTTACCCCTCTTCGCGGCTGCTGATTTCTTTTGAGTGGCAGCCGCAGCCGATTCAGATTTTTGGGTGGTAGGTTTCGATTTTATGGGGGTTGGCTTTTGGATTCGAGGGGTTTTGGATTGAGGTTGAGGAGGAGAGGATGGACTTGGTTCATCATCAGAATCCTCTACTTCTTCACTACTGGATGTTTCTTCCTCTTCTTCTTTAGAGCTAGAAGCAGGTGGATTTTGAACGGGAGCGGGGCGTTTTGGTGCCATTGAGAAACAGAGATAGTTAGTGTTTCGAAGGAGAGTTCGATAAGCAACGGCAGGGAGGCTCTTTCAGGGTAGACAGAAAGTTGCCCTAAACAAATTTAAATAGAAGACACAAGACGGGAGAATATTATAAATTAGTCCCTGCGTTTTTGAGAAATTAATTAATTAATGTTTGAATGGTACAATGTAGTGTTTCTTGGAAGTATGCCATGCACGATGTCCTTGGGATTATTTTGAAATCGTGGGAGTAATTTATAATTTACAATCTTTGAAGATCTTATAATAATGATATACTAATTAATAGAAAAGATTAAATTATTATGTTATTTTTTCTCTTAAATTTTTATTATTGTTTAACTATTAATTAAAAAAATAAAATAGTTGACAATCATACATGCCACTTGATTTATTTTTTTAATCAATAATTAAATAATAATAATAATTTTAAAGAGAAGAAGATAATATAGCCATTTTTATTAATTGCTAAATCATCGCATCGGATAAAAAAAGTTAATTGATATTTTAAAAAAATTAATATATTAAAAAAATAAAAATTAATATATTTAATTATAAAATAAATTTAAAATTGATGTATTTATTATGTAGTTTTTTCATTCGGATGATTAATGCACGTTACGTTTTTTTACTTCTAAGAGTCGTGTAATCAATATTCAAATTAATGTGTATTTCGTGATTCGACTTCGACTGCAAGTAGACAATGCAGGAAAAAGAAATGAAGACTTACCTCTTGTTTGGATATTTCCTCTTGAGAGGAAAGAAAAGAAAGGAAAAAAATGAAAGTAAAAAAAATTATTTTCTATTTATTGTTTGGTTAAAAACAGAAATGAAAAAAAGAAAGTATATTTTCCTTGTTCGGATAATTGTAAAAAGATGAAGACATATTTGGTTCATTCAAACAATTAAAAATAAAAAATATATATAAAGATAAAAATATTTTTATATCTAAAATATTATTTATCTCGTTTAAATTTTTCTCTATGCCGGTAAGTAGATTTTAAGTATAAAGAAAATATCCGTAGTATTTTTTAAAAAAATATGAAGAGAGTTTTGTTAAATTTTAAAATTTAAAGGATATTTATAATTTTATAACACCTCAAAAGAGTTCATTATATTTTACTTAATTTGGTTTTATAAAAATTTAACTAAACAGTCTTTACATATAAAAAAAATACTTAAAATTTACTTACTATCATAGGCACATTGAAAAAATATTATAAATATTTTATTTTATACTTAAAATTTGTTTATTATCATAGAGATAAATTCGAAACTATAAAAAAATATACATGATTTATTAAAATAATTATTAGTATTTTAAAAAAAATATATTCTTACACACGGGATTTATTAAAATAAGACACTTGATTTCTTATACGTATTTAATGTCATTAGGAAAAATTGAAAAAAAAATTAAATCAGATTAAAAAAATTAAAAATTTATTTTTTATTGATAAAAGGTGTAAAATATTTTATAATCAATATTTTCTTATGCACGTTTTATTGATAAACGTAATTGACAAAAAGTTATTTCAAGAAACAAGAAGAAAGTCGAATAGTTTTCTGTTTTATCAAATGCAATTAATGCAAGGAGTTGGGGTTGGAAGCGTTGAAGGAGCACTTCAAGAACTCAAAGTTCCCATGCGAAGAATAGACCACTATCTGCCAATTGTTTTTTATCCTCCTCGGGGAGGCAACAGACGAAGCCTCTCCTCATTATTGGCCTCGAGCAACATCAACAGCCCATCAATATTATTCTTGGTCACCCCGCCAATTGCACCCACCATGAGATTTGACGGTATAGGTCATGATCTCAAGTGCTATAGCAAGTATCAGCGGAAGCGGCAGCGGTATTGGGTGGCAGCAGCTAGCATAGTGAGATTGATTCTCTCTCTCTCTCTTGAAAAATTCTTGTGAGATTTAAAAAGCTTATTTACGATAAAATTATTAAAACCTAAAAAATAGGTTAATATCATTTTTCCAATACTTTCCTATTTATTAACAACATAGAATCCTAAATAATACAAAATTGCTTCATAAATCACTTCTAATCTTTATAGTGCATTATTAGCATTTTCTTTCATCTATCAAGTCCAAATATAATAAAATTACATCTAATTTCATCAAATTATTAAAATACATACCTTTATTTATTTATTTATTATTATTAGTGGATATTACTTTTTACTTCTTCAAACAAATGATCCACAAAATTTGTATTATTTATTTAAATGGTTAATGATTGTATTGTTTGTAGATGTCCTTCTACTCTTTATTTTATTTTTATCATGTTCCTCTTTTTTTTTCATCTTTAAGTTCATGCTTCTATTTTCGTTGTTGTAAAAAAAATTAAAAACATCATAGCTCACAAAATTTCAAAAAAATGAAAAAAAGATGAAGACATATTTGGTTATTCATTCAAACAATTAAAAATTATAAAGATAAAAAATATTTTTATATCTAAAATATTATTTATAAATTTAAATTTTTCTTTATGATAGTAAACAGATTTTAAGTATAAAAAATATCTATAATACTTTTTAAAAATATAAAAAAATTATTTAATTTTAAAATTTTGAATGATATTTATAATTTTATAATACCTCAAAAGTACTATATTTTACTTATTTAGGTTTTATAAAAATTAATTAACAGTTTTTATATATAAAAAAATTTCAAATTTACTTACTATTATAGACATATTAAAAAAATACTATAAATATTTTATTTTATATTCAAAATTTACTTAATTTCATAAAGATAAATTTAAATCTATAAAAAATATGCAATGTTACTGTTTCTTTGAAGTATGCCGTGCATTGATTTTTTTTATATTTTTTAATAATTTTTTATTAAAAACTATTCTTGCATGATGGTCCTTGGGATTATTTTGAAATCGTGGGAGTAATTTATAATTTTAATAGTACAATATACTGTTTCTTCGGAAGACAATGTGCTGTTCCATAGATCTTCTGATTGATTGATTGAGACAAGATGGAGAAAGAAATTTAATTTTCTTGAAATGTTTTTCTATTGCTTTACGTTGGCTGCACAGGTCTTCTCAGAGCGCAGAGGAGAGGATATTATCTCCTGCAAAAATGGGGACTTGAAAGATAGGGCGGTGATTAGACTGTTACATAGATTAAGTATATTATTTTTAATTTGTTTTTTCAATAATTATATCAATTTTTATTTTTTGTTTTTTATATTAATTTTTTTGAAAATATAAAACAAATTTTTTTTTGTTCAATGTTTTTTTATATAATAATGATATACTAATTAATAGAAAAGATTAAATTATCATGTTATTTTTTCTCTTAAATTTTTATTATTGTTTAACTATTAATTAAAAAAATAAAATAATTGACAATCATACATGCCACTTGATTTGTTTTTTTTAATTAATAATTAAATAATAATAATAATTTTAAAGAGAAGAAGATAATATAGCCATTTTTATTAACTCGCTAAATCATCGCATCGGATAAAAAAAGTTAATTGATATTTTTAAAAAATTAATATATTTAATTATAAAATAAATTTAAAATTGATGTATTTATTATGTAGTTTTTTCATTGAGATGATTAATGCACGTTATGTGTTCCGACTTCCAAGAGTCGTGCAATCAATATCCAAATTAATGTATATTTCGTGATTGTGACTTTTGATTGTAAGTAGATAATGCAGGAAAAAGAAATGAACACTTACCCCTTGTTTGGATATTTACTCTTGAGAGGAAAGAAAAGAGAAAGAAAAAAATAAAAAGAAAGAAAAAGAAGAGGAAAGAAAACTATTTTTCACTTATTGTTTGGATAAAAATAGAAATGAAAAAAAGTATATTTTTCTTGTTTGGATAATTGTAAAAAAAGAAAAAGAAAAGAAAATCTGTTATTGTATATTTACTATAATATCCCTATGATTATATTTCTATATTTAAATACTTATAATAAATTTGTAAGAATATTTTTTCATTAAAATAACGAAATGATAATAAAATAAAAATCTAGCATGTAGCATCTATCCGAAATAATAAGATGTATAATGAATTGTTTCCATAGAATAATCGATAACGAGTTAATTAATTAATTAATTCAATAGCCAATTTAGATTAATTATCAACATAAAATTAATTTAAATATGTATATCATGTATTATTATCTATGCATATAATAAGTTAGTTGCTTTTACCCATCATCTTCTCGACTTTTCTTTAGAATAAAAAATTACTATTTAGCAATTAAAAAAAAATTAAATTGTAACATTGTGAATAATCATGGAAAGTCAATTGAATCATAAAAAATGAGATAAATCACAAATAATTTTTATTTCTTCTTTTGTAGTAACTCCAAAAAGTGTTCGAGAGGTCGTTTTGAGGGATGTTTTGGTGAGTTTTTTAAGGGGTTCTTTTGGTGGTTTTGAATATGGTATAGGAGTGTTTTTTGAGCTTATTTGGTGGTTCAAATGGCATTTCCAAAGGAGTTGCTCTGTAAGGGTTTTGGAGAGTCGTTGGTAACAGCTTTAAGGTTGAGTTTGGGTAGGTGGTAGGTCTGTTTTGGAGTTGGTTTTAGGCTTTTTTTTATAGTTTTTTAGGGGTTTTTTGGGTGGTTTTGAAGCTGGTTTATGGGTGTTGTTGAAGCTGCTTCGGTGGTTCAAATGACTTGCCCAAAAGAGTTGCTCTACAAGGGTTTTGGGGGCTATTGGTAACGGTTTCGGATCGAGTTTGGAGGCTTTGAGTAGGTGTTAGGCCTGTTTTTGGGTTGGTTTTAGGCCTATTTTTTAGGGTGTTTTGGAGTTTTTTGAGTGGTCTTGAAGCTGGTTTACGGGCCTCTTTTAGAGTCGCTTTGGTGGTTCAAATGACCTATCCAAAGGGGTTGCTCTGTAAGGGTTTTGAAGGGTTGGTAACAGTTGAGTAGCGAGTTTGAGGGCTTTAGATAGGTGTTGGGTTTATTTTGGGATTAGTTTTAAGGTTTGTTTATAGATGTTTGAGAGCTAGTTTTGGTGCTTTGGGGGAAGTGTTCGGTCTCTCAAGTACCGGATCCAAAATGTGAAAAGGTTGAGGAATGAAACGATGACAATTTCTTATGTAGTGTCATGGGCTAATATGCAAAAATAAATCATGACCCCTAAATTTTAGCTTTAATTCTTACTTGTTTATCACCCTCAAGTTGTAGGTTTGATTTTCTTATGTGATTATAAATTCTAGTAGACGTCAATTTTTAGATGGAAATGGATGCATTCACAAGCACTACCCACGATCCTATTAGTTAAGCTCGATAAAAAAAAATTAATTATAAATTCATGTCCTCTACGTGAGTAATAACTCTTGGATCGGAGGATGGATAAATGAAAAATGGAAGACAATTGAAAGAACAAAAACATTATGTGACAATTAACAAGAATCGAAGTTAGTAAAGGCAACAAAGGCTTCCATGCTCCGAGAGAATGTAGATGCCAAATCCCCGCCCGAATAACTTAAGCAACTAGAGGTCGTAGAACATGATCCTAAAAGGTATCAACAACAGCAGGGGGCATGAATTGCCATATAGAAATTCTAGGATAGCTAACGAAGGGCATCGGCTTGCGCCAACAACCCTCCTCTATAACACACAACGAATAAGGGAATTAAACGTAATTTGATCCGGATGCACTCCATTTCTTAACAGACTCATAAAAAAATCTCCATTACTAGCTAAAACTCTACACCCTCTTTATCACGAGCATCAATAACAACATTATAAGAAACCAAATTAGGCTTCAAGCCATAATCTTTCATCGAATCAAAGACCTTAATAACATCATTACAATAACTATTTCTACCATATGCACTAATGATAGCAGAGAAAGCATAAACAGTATTTCCATAACCTTCAATAAGAGCGACCTCAAAAACACTCTTAGTAGTCTCTACTTTACCTAACCTACCAAGAGTACTAATCATGACACTCGCCAATTTACCTTGTTTGTTCCTTTTCCTCTCCCTTTGATCGTAAATTCAAAGCAATAAATGGCTTTTTTCGATCCGCTCGATTACCAAGCTTCCGAAACAAGAAAATATAATCATTCGACCCAAGAAACACATTTTCAAGGGCCTCCTCTTCTTTTCCATACTCTATTACGTTCTAGAGAGCTTCTGGGTGACCGAGGTGTGGCGAGTACCCATGGTAGTTATGGGTCGTTTGAAATAGAGCTTAGAAACAAAGCGGGTGGAGTGGCGACCGAAGAAATCCGATGCAAGTTCTAATTTTGGGGACTCGTAGGGAAGGAAAGGTAGGGTGGATTTGTGGGTTATGAGCGGTGATGGTGATGGCGGCGGGTTTTTAGTGTATTGCGGGAAGATGGAGGGAGAGGGGGTTTGGTAAGAGAGACTCTTTGATTAACAATCCATCTTTTGTAGGGGTTTTGGTGGTGGGTAAAAGGTTCAATGACTTGATTAGTAGTACATCTTTTGGTAGGGGTTTGATTACGGATTTGTTTTACATATCCGTTAGCGTAAAGTAGAAAATGAGGGGAACGAGCTGAGGCAACGGCAAAAATGTGAAACAAAAAAAATATATATATATATACATCTCACGTTTTTCTCCCCATTTCCACCCAATTTTGGAAGGAAAATGGGTCCTACCAAAAAAATATTTGTTTAATATTTTTTCTTTCTTTTCGCTTACTTTCCTCTCCAAACCAAACAGAGGAAAACTTTCCTTTCCTTCGTATTTTCTTTCCTCTCTTCCACTTTCCTCCCTATCCAAACAAGGGGTTAAGGAATGAGTTTACAAAATAAACTTCTCGAATTATTTGGAGTAACATATAATTCAGTCCCTCTTATTTCGATAAATGAATTATTTAGTCTCTTTTATTTCAAAATCTAATCATTTAGTCCCTTATCGTTAAATTCTTCACATGTCCGTCTAATTTATATCTAATACCTAAAATACATATTTAACATATAAATCCATCCCAAAAATGAAATAATCCCATTCTCTCTCTTCTTTTTCTTGTTTTCTTTGTCATGATCGAGATGGTGCTCTCTCTCACTCTTTTTTAATCTTTTTGTTTTTCTCTCTAATTTGTTTTTAGATAAGTTTAATCTTCACATCTCTTAGAGCATCTCTAATTATGCTCTCTACTTTTAGCTAGTATTTTCAATATAAATAGAGAGCACAATTAATTATATAGATTGAAGATCAATATCCTCTCAAATGCTACTCTCTACTTTGACATTTAATTAAAATTTTCTCTCCTTTTTTTTCTCGTTAATCTCCTAGAGAAACTATTGGTGAAAAGGCTGAGTGGCAAAGGAAATAATAATTTTCATTAATGAAATATAAGATAAAGAATTATTTGGACTTTGTAGTATTGGAGAGCCGGATACACTTTATATCTCATTTTTAAAGATAGAGATTGTGATAAGATACCATTGGAGGGGGAATTTGGGCCAAACCTCTTTATTATAAAAAAAATCTTAATATAAAGATAGCATTGGAGATGCTCTTAATATTTAGATGATGGTTTTATTCCTAAAAATAAAACAAACCTCTCTCTCTCTCTCTCTCTCTCTTCCCTTGCTATCTCTCGTTATGATTTCTAGATAATGGCACTCTCTCTTACTCTCTTTTTATCTTTTTGTTTTACTCTGTAGTTTGTTCTTAGTCAATTTAATCTCCATACCTCTCCAACGTTGCAAAATCGAAATCCAACATAATCTCAATTTGCATTGAACATCCATCTCATCTTCATTGTTTCATAAAATCATAATTATTAGGCATGAAATTGACTTGTTAAGGATGGTTTGAACTTCCATTTGTTCTAGCATATTTTTAAGTTATATTTTAGGTGTGTTGAATTCGAGTTATTGGTTAGGGTTTTTTTTTATAGATTTTTTACTGAATAAATTCCAAAAAAATAAAATGGGATTGATTATTATGTAATACGTTAATATTGATAGAATATGTCAAATTTTTGACTTATTTATTGCAATTCATGGCTTATAAATTTAAGGTTTCTAAAATTAGGGTTTCTTTGTTTATTTTATGTAATATGTCTTGTTAGGTCCTAAGTATTTAACTTAATTCAATCTTTAATTCAAATGAGGTACCATATCGTGATAATGGATCTTAATAAGAATTTAGAGAATGTTAAATACTTTGAAGCGGATACCAAAAAGTATTGCTATCCGAATTTGCTAATAGATGTGTACAAACACTTTTCTCTTCATTCCGACTTTGTTAATTTAGTTGCTAGTTGTTGAATACCTATTGCAAATTATGAGGATTTGATTTACATATCTAAATATTACAATTATTTAGAGCTTAAGGAGGTTCCATTACTCATAAAAGATAATGATATTGGTGTTCCATTAAATGTGATATCATCAAAAAGACAAAAGCATTTACTTACTAGGAGAAATATATATAATCCATCGAAGGAGTTGAGTGGGACTTTAGACCCAAGGCTCCTAAAGGAGGGAATGTCACTCGAGTGGATGTGAATGATGGTGGAAGTATGAATGTTGAAGATGTGAATGTGAGAGCTAGTTGATACGAATACTCGATATTATTGATGGTGGAGTTTGTGTGAGGAATATAGGTATGGAAACAAAGCTGAAATTAATAATTTAGTAAATGTTAGAGAAAGAATGGAGCAAGTTTATGAAAGTACTCAAAAGAAAATATCAAAAGATTTTAGAGGAATTAGAGGAAGAGGTTTAGTGGGTATAAGTGTTATAAGACAAAGTGGAAATACAAATAGAGACACACACCATGAATCAACAAATGCCGATAAAAGTATGAGGCGGACAAGTAAAAAAAAAAAAACACTTGTTGATGAGGAATATGAGTTATTTAATGAAGATTATGACTTTGGTGATGATATAAAGGATGAAGATTGGGTTATAAATGATAATGGATTAATAAAAGATAGTAGCTCTAGTTTCCTTGAAATTAGTTTTTATTAAGTTGGATTTCCTTAAAATTTTTCTTCCTCTTTTTCTCCTCTAAGTTTCGCCTAAGAACCCCTTTTTCCCTCCTTGGAAATTTTGATCTTCCACCTAAAATTCTAAGCTTAATAAAGTGTTTTAAGGTAGTTTTAGGTGTTTAAGTGAAATCATTTGTGATTTTCTATGAAAAATTTGTAAGAGTTTCCCTTAGTCTTTTACTAATTTTCTAACATTTTTCTTCCTTCCTTTCTAGCCATATTTATAGGTGAGCTTAGTAGACTTTTTGATTGTTTGACTTCATCTTAGCCATCAATTTGGTTTAATCTCTACCTTTGATTTTTACTAGTAATTCTAACCTTTTAATTATTTTAATCCTAGCCTTCCGGTCTACTTTAAATCTCATACATCCATCTCACCTTCATTCTAGCCTTCCATTGGTTCTTTAGTCAAAGTTCATTAATCGCTCTTAATTATTAAGGGTGTGAGGCGGCAAAAGATGGGAGGAAAATCTCTTCCTAAAGTTTTTATTTTATAGGAAAATCCCTCAATCTCTCACTTTATCCAATTTTTATCCCTACTTTTAGTCCTTTCTTTTTTAATTGACTACTTTTTGGTCTTTCCTCAAAGCTTTTCTGACATTTTTTTGCCTCCTCAAATTCATTTACAAATTTATTTGAAAGCCTAAATTTTTAATTTTATGCAATTGGGTCTCTAGTTTCATGCAATTAGGTCCCCATATATGCATAATTTATTCCACACTCTTTTGAAAAATAATTTTTTTCATAATAAATTCAAACACTTTCTATAGTAATTTATTCATTATTCACATAATTTTTATATACACATTTAAGCACTTAAATTATTATTATTATTATTATTTTGCATAAACATGCACTTATTCATACAAAAAATATTTACTAAATATAGAAAAATTCGCTTAAGTGCATGGAATATTAGCAATTTTTCTATGCTCATAAAATAGTTTTCATGCACATCCAAAGCACTTGAAACAATTATTTTGCATAAAAAATATTATTCATGCATCGAAAATCCAATAAAATATTCACCGAGAACTGGAAAGTTCATCCAAATAGACATAGATATAATATTCTAAAACTCTTCAAACAATTATTCTATGCACACAAAATAATTCACACATATTTAATATATTTTAATTCATTTATTCTTAAGTTCAAGATATTACAAATGGTTTATAACATAGTCAATGGCCTTGTCAATGAGAATGAATCTATGATCTTTTTATTTTAAATTTCGCCTATTATGACTTAAAGATACTCATATTTTGCAATTAAATAATATTTCACCAAAGAAATTGACTTCTATTTTTAAATTATTCACGTTTTAAGAGTGAGGATGGTAATTTCATTCGATCAGTTGTATTTGATCCGGTTGAATATGATTTTTATCCTTTTGTGGTCAAATTGGAGGTGCGTAAAATAAAACATAAATTTTTATTTTTTTGGAGTTGTAATTTTTTTTAATGATATAATGCAAGGATTAGTAGAGGTTTTTTGTGGTTTTATACCTGAATTTAAAGTTTATTCATATATGGAGATACATTTTCTTTTTTCAACTTTAAATTTTTTAATTTAATTAATACCCTCATCTATCCTTCTACGGTAGGCCAAGTTTTTAATCTATTTTTTATATCCTAAAACAACTTTATGATATTCATGTTATTTGAGATAATTTCTAACTTATCTTTTTAGTCAAAATTTTCGATCAATTCTTTAGAAATTAATCATGTGACTTACACATGATATGTGATATGATAAAATTGAAATTGGAATTGAAATTAAACAAATGAATTAGCTTGGAAAAGAAAATATATGCAAAAAAAAATGTAAATTTTTTTTTTTTTTAAAATCAAATCAAATAATATAGACATAACTAGCCGATTGCCTATGTTCCACTCGCTCTAGTAGAAAAAAATGATTTAAAATTTTAAAAATTATAATTTTTTATTCAATTAATTTTTTATAATGTTTTTTATAAATTTTTTCTTTAAAAAAAATAAATCATTCTTCTTTATGAATTGATTTTAACTAAAATATTAATCAAGAATTAAAAAAACTTTAAAAATATATTTTTCATAATATTGTATTCCAAAAAATAAAATTATAATTAATGGATAGATTTTTATAAAAACTAACAAATGAAATTTTTTTTTATTTAATAATGATGAGAAGATTAATTTTTGAAATTATCCGCACAATGTCTGCAGGTAGATAGAACAAAATCGTTTTGAAATTTTATAATTTTTTCATTAATTTTTATTTAATTATTACTATTCTTTTTGTGTTTTTCATAAAATTGCTACTTAAAAAGACATGATTTATTCTTCTTTTTTTAGGAATTCGTAAATAAACAATTGTAATTATTTAAATCTAAAATATTAATTAAGAATTCAAAAGCAAATACTTTAAAAATATATTGTTTTATAAGAATATATATATAAAAAAAGAGAGTTATAATTAATGTATGGACTTGGATGAAAATTAACCAATGAAAAAATAAAATTTTATTCTTATTTAATGTTGATGAGAAGATTTTTTTTTAAAGTGTATACATTTGATCTATATATATTTATTTACAAAATAATCAATAAAATTAGCATAAAAAACAGTATTTGAATAATTGGTTAGTTCTTTTAAAAAATTATTTTAATTATTTTATTTTAAATAACTTGGTTCTATAATGTTAAAAAAATATCCATAGTAAATAATTTGTATTATGTTAGAAGATGCATTGTTAATTTTTAATAAAGACAATGAATCAATAGTTTTTTATATGCCTTAACCATACTCAGTGAACTAAAATAAATATTTGAAATACACTTTTAACCTTTTACGTAATTATCATTTAAAAATTATAAGAATTCATTTTATATATTATATCGATTTATTTTTTTAAATCATGTTTTAAAATTTTATTCTAAAATTCAAACTAAGAGTAAAATAAATCATATTTGTTAGTAAAGAAAATTATATATAAAAATATTAATTGGATGAGAATTTTCGTAAAAAATGATAAATTTAAAAAATGAAATTTAACTAATAAAAGCAATATAGCTTGAAGTATATGTTAATTTGTTTTTTAAATGAAAGCTAAGGATTGAAAAAAAAATGTTACAACATGATAGACAAAAATAAAAAAAAATGTTAAATTTACATATTAATGCCAAAAAACGCACAAAAAAAACCACATAAAAAAATTACTTAAATTGCCATCAAGTGAATAGTAATTTTATGCATATAAAAAGTAAGTGAATATGAATTTTAGGCATATAAATAGTTAGGATTCCTCGTTGATCGAATAAAACATATTTATTTTAGTTTGATAATATATAATATATTTCCAATTAACTAAAATATATTAAATTAAATATAAAAGATAAAATCTCATCTAATTTTATAATTTTTAATCAAAATTTGTATTTATATATTTTTTGTGTTTTGAATTAATTTTGAAGTAAAAAAAATGATTTGTTTTTCTTATGCATTTATTTCTAAATAAAAGCCCATAATAAACAAATTTTAATATAATTTTTTTTAAAAAAACTTAATATTTTTTTTGATAATATTGTATCGAAGAAATAAAGTAAAAATTAATATAAAAATTTATATGAAAATTAACAAATAAAGTTTTTTATCGATGGAAAGATTATTTTTTTGAATATGTATATTTGATTTATATATATTTATTTAAATATGCTTGCGTTGCAATTCCGTTTCCCAACAAGATTGGCTGATCGTAATTAAATGTATCTAACCACTATATTGAGCCAATCCATTCTGAAAATCCTTTTATACATTATTATTATGATTATTATTTAGAAAAATAAATAAAATATGTCGTCCTTCCACATCAGTTGCTGATGAACGAACGGTCCAGATATAGCAGCAACATGATCTAAGGAAAGATTCATAATAACAACTTGAAAACGATAACCTGACAGTTAAACTGTTGAAGCCCTCTCCGGCCAAGTTGGAAAAAGATAGAGAAAAACAGAGAGCGAGAATTCAACTGCAATGGCATCATGGAATTCAATTCCACTGGAAATCGCATACCAAACATTTGGATGGATCGCTTTCTTTTCATGGTCCATCAGTTTCTACCCTCAAGTCATCTTGAATTTCCGACGCAAAAGGTAATTCATTCATCACTCCCCCCCCCCCCTCTTTTTTTTTTTTTTCCCTTATGTATCCATTCCAATAACATTAGGATTCAATTCACCAATTTAATACAATATTCTTGTTACCGTTGAACAGCGTGGTCGGGTTGAACTTCGATTTCGTGCTGTTGAATTTGACGAAACACTCTTCATATTTGATATACAACGCTTCTCTTTACTTTAGCTCTGCTATTCAACATCAGTACTTTGAAAAATATGGCTTTGGAGAGGTAATTCCTTCTTTTCTCTTCATTTCATGCTTTGGTCTCCTCATGGTTTGATATAGAGAGAGCTTCTTTCTTGTCTTCCATGCTTAGTTTTAGCGAAACCAGATAAAAAAAGTTTTGTGGGTCAATTCTATTTTCCATCAATAATTTATTACTAGTGTTTTATTTGCCCGCCACACTTGGCAAGACATGCACGATGAGGTTCAGTTTTTAAAGGAGGGAAATGAAATGTTTCCTATTATGCTCTTCTGGGTTTTATTTGTTTGATGGGATTCTTATGTTATTACTGATTGAATGTTTGCCTTGAGCTTTTAATTTGTTGCGATGGGATTATATGGAGATGGAATTTTAAAACTTGAATGAGAAGAGATATCTTGCTAATAATCAAGGCTTCATCAACAAATTCTTTGTTCATTTTAGTAAGGAAATATGCGATTCATTTTTCTTGTAGTTGGAGGTTATAGATAGAAAATAAGTTAATTATTAACTTAATGCCTTGCTTTTATAAAACTTAAGGACTGTCCATCATGTACTTGATTTAGCAGTTCCAAGAATGTAGACATATGAGGGGTTTGTACATTCTGTTTTGTTAATCATTGCTGTTAGAAATGTTTGACGAGACCCTTCGAACTTTATATATATATATATATATATATATTGTGCCACTAGATGAAATTTTGCTCAAAATGCTCATTCAGTTTTGTTTTGTTTTTTTTTTTTTGTTTTTTTCATTCTTATGTAACTGATACCGTGTTAATATTAGTATTACTCATCATCTGCAAATGGTATGCAAAGATGGTGTGCAACTTCTTTTTGAATTAAAGTTTTTTAATATGGAGCAAGTTTGTTGGAACCTATACCCATTGAAAGTCAAATCCTAATGCAGGTCATATGAAGATCACCTCAGGGTGAACTCTGAACACGATTTCCTTAAAATTTGAGACCTTATGTTTAAGACAAGATAGAGAGCCAGATCAAGAGAGGAAATTGTATTGAAAAAAATAAAAATAAAAGCAAAACTACTGATTTGTGATAGGATATCGTAGTAAGTATAAGCTCGAGCTACTGTTTTCAGTTATATAAGAGTTCCTATTTGTCTGGTGTTCAAAAGTGGGCTATAGCATTTGGACCTTTGTGTCTGTTTAGTTGTTTACCTATTTTTATTTTATCGCAGATGATACCTGTAGCTGCGAATGATGTTGCTTTTTCAATACATGCTGTTTTGTTAACAGCGATTACTTTGTTCCAAATTGTAATCTATGATGTAAGTGGTTTGCACTTCTTCAGTATTTTACTATTTTTTTTTTTGTCTCGTATTGAAGCCTGATGTAATCATTCTTCCATTTGAACAGCGTGGAAATCAAAAGGTCTCTAAGATTTCTATAGCAATTGTATGTGCTGTGTGGTTAGCAGCTGCAGTATGTTTTTTTGTAGCTTTGCCTCATCACTCTTGGCTGTGGCTCATCTCCATCTTTAAGTAAGTAGCTACCTTGGTTTTTTTTAATCTTAAATTGCAAATTTACCCTAATGATGCTTAAATTTGTTGGAAATCTTCATGAAAGGATCACATGCCTGAGATGGTTGTGATGGACTTAACTTTACAAGATACGGAAGTTTTGATTCCTCAACCTTATGAGTGAGAATAAGGGCTAGTTCTCAATCAGTTTGTCACTTCAGAATCTATTTTCAAATTCATAGGAAGTTTGTCACATCAGATTCCTTTTCCATACTCGTAGGACTGTGGTTCTGCATGATATTCTTTGAAAGAAAAACTTTTCAGCTCTCACTAATGAGTTAAGTTGCACCTTGGAATTGTGCATGAGGCATGGGCACTGTATATGTTGAATATTAGAACCGATATAAGGTTTTTGTTCTCTGTTTTCAGATGCTTCTCATGTATCTGTAATTTGGATATCCATTTTTGTTCAAGGATGGAGTTTCCATGTTCTCTTCTAACAGGAAACTCTGTTATCTCTTATTTATCTTCTATGATTTACTCTGTTTCTGCAGCAATTATGTTCTGTGCTTTTGGTTTGCTGTTATTGATGGGATGTGGTCCCTTGCATTTGGTTTCCAGGCTGTTATTTCAACCTATTTGTGGCCCTATTTAATTTATGTTCTCGCTTAAGTGAGCTTATGATCTTGGAGACTTGGAGTACTAGACTCCTATCTCTCGACATATTAGAATTTTCATCTACATAGACAGCAGGGTTGTGCTCACATCTATCACTGTTATCTGGGGAAGAAGGTAAAAGGTGGGGTAGAGATTATTATCAGTGATGGAAAGGTTAATGACTGCAGAAATGTTCTGAAGCAGTGAACATATTCCAGTGCTGTGGAGGAACTTAATCATTGCCTTGGATGGCCAACTTTTTTTTAACTTGGGTTAGATGTCACAGTAATGTAGAAACACCTCATCTTAGATTAGTTAAAACCTGATGTCTGAGTTGAAATTAGTTAAGTATTATTAAGCAACAAAGGGGATGTTGTAAAGCCTTAATTTAGCATTCTGCACATGGCTTCTTGTTTTTCTTTCCCCCTGGAGATGGCCAAGCAATTATAGGCATGTGACATAGTGGTGAGAAGTCAAAATTTATTTGTTTCTGTATTCTGGATTTTTTTTTAACTACTTCTTCCATTATTATTTTATTTCACTTTGTCATTAAAATAAATTGATGAATCAGTTTTTGGAATTTCTTTCTTATTTCCTTTTATTTTAATGATTTTGCAGCTCAATTCAAGTTTTTATGACCGTCATCAAGTATATTCCTCAGGTCAGAGTTGCTACTTTTTCACGTCTTTGAGAAGTCTGTGGGACTAATTGCCATCTACTCTGGCTGTAAAGCCTTTGTAGTTGCAAAGACTGCAATCTAATTGCCCTAGCTCATTTATGGCATTTTATTCTCATAAAACAGATGCTTTAAACTTAGTTTCCTCAAGATTTTGCTGCTAATGTGCTTGTTAAGTGATAATATCCATTACAATCACACATAACGTGTCTTTTCTTAATGACTAATTAACAGATGGAACTTGGTCTTGCTTTGATGAGATCACCTTTTTTTTTCCCCCTTTCTTTCTTTCTTCTTCTTTTTTCATTTATTCCTTTATCTGATCCTCTAGAATGTTTCTGACATGACATGGTTTCTCACATTTATTTGTGATTGCTCTGAGATACAGGCGATAATGAACTTCATGCTAAAGAGCACGGATGGCTTCAGCATTGGAAACATTTTACTTGATTTTCTGGGAGGGGTGACAAATTATGCACAAATGGCTGTGCAATCTATAGACCAAAGTGCGCTATCTCTTTCAAGAGGGAATAATTTTGCTAGTTGAATAATGTTTTATGCATGATACTAATTTGATCTCGTTGTCTTTGCCAGATTCTTGGGTGAACTTTTATGGCAACATAGGAAAAACGTTGCTATCTTTGGTATGGAACCCTTCTTCCTTTCTGGATCATTCTAATACCCTATGCAATTGTTTAACTGTTACTAATCTCATGCTAGTAGTATTGTTTTAAAATTTTTTCCATAGCACATGTGATCCGTCTAAAACAGTTCTTTCAAGTTCTATCTCAATTCTTCGTTGTTCCCTTCTACATTGGTTTTGATGTAGTGCATTTTGCAGGTGTCTATATTTTTTGACCTTCTATTTATGTGTCAACATTATATCTTGTATCCTGCCAAGAAAGCTGTTTCTCAAAAACTCAATAAAGAGGGAACAGAGCCACTTATCAAGAATTCTGAGGAGCCATCTGGGTCAGAAGATGTGTAAGGTCAAATTTTTATAGTAATGCATTGTTACATCAGGGAAAAGACATACAAGCTTGTGTAAATATAAGTTTGTCTTTACACTGCTTCCTCAAATGATTGAGAATCTATCTTCCCCAAGCGTTGGAAGCAGCTAAACAGTACCATTGTATAATATAAGCTATCGATTCCAAGGCAATTCGAAATTTACATTTGGTTCTCTGATATGGCTATTATGCATGTTTGTTCTGATAATTTGGTTGACAACCTTGTACATGGTGGGGTAGACTAGAAATGACGCCCTATCTGTTCACCGATAATTTTTATTCAATTTGCATGTGATGGTATGCCTTAGAATAAGTTCCAATTTATCATAAAGGAAAAGGAAATTTTTAGCATTAGAACATGGAATGTTTCTCTCCACTTCGCTGGTAAAATTTTGAGCTAAATTTTAAAATACCTTTCTCAGATTTTGATGAAAAAATAAATATTCTTCTCAACCAAAAAATTCTTGATTGTGCACTATGAATTAAATTGATTGAAAACTCAAGTTCAGAATAACTGTTGGTTAAGGTTTACATCTATTTCATCCTTAGTGGAGCTCACTTAGGAATGATGATCGGGGGATATTTGATCTATTAATTTAATTTTTTATTTTACTCATAAATTTTTTTTATTTATTATCAATTAAAAAATCATTTCATAGATTTTTATCCAACTCATATCATACTTCATAAATTTTTAAACTTATTCTCTCTCTCTATTTCTTCACTTTCTCTCTCCCATCTGTTCTTCTTCCTTGTCTTTTAGAACCTTGAATTTTACAGAAAATCCACATTAATTGTTAATCAGTGCTTCAAATATATTGTGTTTGATATGCCATCTAATTTTATCTTCTTTTTTCCTCCATAGTATTTGTCTGCAAATTTCTCTGTTGAGGATGAATTTTATCTCAATTATGTTAACAAAAAATGTAGCTACGCGAAGAGGAATTCATATGCACAAAAGCTCTCTTCCCACATCTACGTACATCTTCAATTAACATACTTGAGATAAAATTTATCCTCATTGAAGGAATTCGCAGACGGATACTCTAGAGAAGACGAAGAAGAAAACATGGAATTAGAGGATGACATGTCAGACACAGTGTATTTGTTTTTGCATCAAAGTTCAGGAAAGTATTTTACTATTTAACCAATTTTTAGAGATAAAATTGTTATTTAAAACAAATTAAAATTTATTTTGGCACATTGGATGAGATCAATAGTAAATACAAGAAAATCACATGTAAATGGGACATAATGTTTGAACTATTGGCTTGCCAAAAACAATGGATAGATGAGAGGTGGCACAAGAAAGTATCTAAAGTTGCTTGTGTGAGGGGAAAATTGATAAAATCAAAAGTTTTGCAATTGATAATATGAAGAAAAATGTTTCGAAACTCTTTGTTGAAAGTATTGTTGCCAATAAAATAACGAAAGAGACATGTCTAAAATAAATCTTATTAATATATAACAAATGTTAGTAATTTTTCTGGGAGTTGCAAAGATCATTGACATATACAAATTATTAGAATGGAGTAGATTTTTTTATTTATTCATTAGCGGATGGAGCAGATTAAATGCTTCATCTATGTTTCTGTAGTAGATCGATGCACAATTAAATTTATGGTTTGGTTGTATATGTAATTGTATTTTTTATTATTGAGACTCTATATATATATATTTTTTGTTTGATTTTGATAGTGATTTTTTATTTTTCGAGATTTGTTGGCTCGGACCATCCGTTAACTATTCTTCCGACACGACATGTTATATCAATAGCAATCAATCACTTATCGATACGTGACATAGTGTGTCTCAAATAACGTCAAGAATTAAAAAATATATATTTTTTTAATAATAAACTAATACTTAGAACTAAAAATAAATAGAAAAAACAAATTTGCCCCACCTCTTGACTCCAAACCTAAATCATTCTTTTGCATTCATAATTCCTATTCTCTCTCTAAAAAAAAAAACTAATTCTATTTTTTAATTTCTGGTAACCCTACAAAAGATATAAAAACTCATAACCCGGCAAAAGTTGTAAGTGAATTTAGTATAGCTCATTCCTTACTCTAATTTAAGCCTTTTCTTTAAACCCAAAAGATAGAAAAGTCTCAATCCAGTGTGCTTACGATTAAATTCAGGCCGTAATGAACTTCATTGAAACATTTTACTTGATTTCCTTTAAAGGGTTGAAGGTATAGCGGAAGGGCTGGGCAATTTATAGATTAAAAGGGCATTGCATTGTAGGATATGCACAATTAAAATACTTTGCTTAGAAAAGAAAAAAGGAAAACCGAAAACCTAACTGCATAACAAAATACCACTAGGCAAGGGAATGGAGATTCCCACATCAGCAGATCCAACTATTCTCTTCATGTTTTACTGATTATATCATTATCATTTTTCTCTTTTCTTTTCTTTTTTTCCTTTTATATATATATATATATAAAGAGATTTTGAAGAACATTCTTATAGAAAAAGTTGTGCTGTAAAAGTGTTTGTTGAATGAAGAAATGTTTCGAAACTTTGTTTAAAGTATTGTTGCCAATAAAACAACGAAAGAGACATGTCTAAAATAAATCTTATTGATATATAACAAATGTGAGTAATTTTTTGGGGGTTGCAAAGATCATTGATATATACAAATTATTGGAATGGAGTAGATTTTTTTATTTATTCATTAGTGAATGGAGTAGATTAAATGTTTGATCTATGTTTATGTTATACATCGATGAAAAAAAGAAGTTATATATATTTTGATTATGTATTTTTTGATTTTTTTTTCTCATTGTGATTCTATGTTTTTTTTAGCTAGATTGTGGCCTTCTATTCTTAGAAATTTATGAATTCAAAATTTTTATTATAACTCGTTAATTATTCATCTAATGTGACACATTAACATTAATGACAATCAATCACTAATTGACACTTGATATAGTGTATCTAAAATAACAATGTTGCTATCTAAAAAAAAAATTTTAAAAAAATATCTTTAATAATAAACTAATATTTAGAATTAAAATTGAATGAAAAAGATAAATTTGCCCCCATCCCATTACCTCGAACCCAAATCATTCTTTTGCATTCATAATTCCTATTCTTTCTCTCTAAAAAAACCTCTAATTCTGTTTATTATTTCTCATAACCCTACAAAAGATATAAAACTCATAACCCTGCAAAAGCTGGTAAGTGAATTCAAGTATAACTCATTCCTTTCTCTAATTTAAGCCTTTTCTTTACACTTTTGTTGCCCATCATAGTCCCCATCCTTGCAAATTTCCATTTTTGTTTCAAAAACCACATGATCAATTTCTAAAAAATTCATTGCAAGGAAAAAAAAACAATATAATCACTCGAAGTTTTTCTTTGAACTTGAGAAGCAAAAATATTGATAATAATGCAAGCTACCTCTCTAGTTAAATCTGTCTCACTACGATAACTTAAGATTTGCAAAATCTCTTTATTTTCACAAAGTTTAATAATGTATGAGATCACCATCTTGAACGTCATAATTTTCGATGACCATAGTGCTAAAAAATCAATGCTAGTGAAAATCATAATATTTTGTCACAAAAAATTCTTGCTTTTTCCTTACGGAATTCATCAAAAAAATAATAAAAACCCTTGCCTTATTTGTTTATTTTTTTCTCCAATTTCTCTCATTGACAACTATGTACAAAAAAAAAAAAAAAAAAAGAAGAAGAAGACAAACTCTTTCTTTTAAATGTATATATTGGCTAAACAGGAAAAACAAAACGAAAAGAAATTTTCCTTTCTAGTTTCATAATAGTTCTTTTGCTATTTAACTTCAACATGTTTCCTATCTAACTTCAATCATTTTCCTATAAATCATTTTTCTAATTAATCCCTTTTATATTTAATTTATTAATATGTTACGCTAAGACCAATCATGAACTTGGACCTTAAATACATACCTAACAAAATCATAAAGATGAGATATTAATCTAGTGGTAAACTCTTACAACTTATGGGACTTCTATCCTTATTTAAAAAAAAAAAAAAATCTAAAAAATACGAGTTAAAATGCAAATGATGTGTTGGGAAACTTAAAGAACTTGAGATTCAACACAATATTACGAAAAACCCAATTTAATAAAAAGAATACATATGAATAAAGATGAATAAAGAGTAGCCACATAAGATTTATGTGGTTCGACAAAATATTGCCTACTCTAAAAACTTAAAAGTAATTCTTTACTATGCGAGAAAATTAGTATAGGAATATGATTATGATTTTTATCTCCTTTCACTCAAAGAAAAAAAACCTCTTAACCCTCATGTTTTTTTACACACTAAAACTATACATTTAATCACTTATTTATAATGGCCAAAATCCTTAATGAACTAAGAATCTTTAATAAATAAGGAATCCTTTGTGGACAAAGAATTCTTAATCAATACTCCACTATATTTACTTGCCCATTACTCTAAGGAATATGAACGATAAGCCCAATAATTTATACTCGTGATGAATGTTTTTGCCATCGTGAGTTTTGTTTACTCCACTTGTTTACTAATACAACAAATAGAAAAGTACAAATAACAATTTACCTTAAAATTTACTAGCTTCATGTGATCCGAATTAGCAAGCAATCTTGAATTTCACTTGATTAAAAAGCATGGCCATTATCCATATGTAGTTATCCTTAGTCAATTTTATTGGTTAACTCCAAAGAGGATCCTCGATCCATCCTCTCTTACGAGTAGGATCTTTTCCCTCACACTCGTCCGAAACCTACAAATGCATAATTCTTGTCTCTTTTTCAATCACTAAAGACACTCTTTTAAGATAGTTGCATTCTATCCACTCTATTTTCAGCCACTCCTCAAAGTCATCATTTTTCTAATTAGATGATGTAAACCACCACAATTTTGTTCTTTCATTAGAACTATGCTTTCATCTATGACTTTCGGGACTTGAATTGTAGTGGAATAAGTGTATTCTTTGGAGTCTAACCGGCTCAATGATATCAAATTCATATGCATCTTTGGGACATAAGCCATAGCACCCAAAATATAGACCACTCCATCAAATATTTAGATTTTCACCATTTCAAAACTCATAATATCACAAGACAACACACCAACTAAAAAAATTATGCCAATCCTTCCTTCTTAAAACTCATCAAAATATTTCTTCTTAGAACACACATGTAGAATCTAATATTTTATTATCTTGAGAAAAATTGTTAATATCTTCGGAGATTGTAAAGACATCTCTATAGTCTTCTACTAACGTCAAAGAATTTTCACCATCATCAAATTTATCCATCCTCTTTTTTCAAGGACAATCTCGTTTGATGTAACTAAATTCTTTATGCGAGATGATATGGAATACCCTTTTTGCTAGACTTGACTCAAACTTGACATTCTAAAATTCTCTTTCAACTCATTTTCATTTTCGATACTCCTATTTGATCACCGGTATAAAGTTATTTTTTTTCTTGATTTAATTTTCTTTGCATCTTATGAGATAAAAATATAGTCTATACTTGATCCGAAATCACCGTATCTCTACCATACAACAACGTCGTCATTAGATTTCTAAACAAATCTAGAAGAGATGTAAGAAGCAAAAGAGCTTTGTTTTCTTTTTCAATCTTGACATCAACTTTTTGTAGTGAATAATATATAGCAATGAATACATTCAAGTGTTTCATGAGATTCCCGCATTCTTCTATTTCTAGCATGTAAAGTTGCCACTTTAGATGTAATTTGTTGGTTACACTCTTCACTAGATAAAGATTTTCCAACTTTTTTCATATTGTAGGTGTCGAATCTTCATCCATGACATTATTGACAATGTTATCAACACTACATTGTCGAATTATGCTTTCGCACCTTGATCGCAACTCCTTCCACTCTTGCTTTTCCATCTTTCCGGCTTCCTATCCTAACCTTTCCTTCAATGCTTTAGTTAAGCTCTTTTGAACAAGAATGCCTTTCACCCTTAGTTGCCAAAAAGTAAAACTATCATTTTTATTAAATTATTCCATGGTAAATTAAAACTTGTCGTGTGCGGATATTGTTTGTGATCGAAAGTCGAATCTCCCATAATGAACAAATTAATTCAATTAAAAAAAAATTAACGAAGAAGAATAAAGAGTAGACTCACAAGATTTAATGTGTTTCGAAAAAATTCTCTTTAATCCACATAAATCCAAAAGCAATTCTTTACTATGATAGAAAATTAGTATAATAAAATAATTTTGATTTTTATATAAAAAAAACTCAATCTCAAAGCCTCTTGTAAATCCACTCTCATTTTCAAAGAAAAACTCCCAAACCTTGTGTTTTTCACACACTGAACATCTAATCACTTATTTATAATGATCAAAATCCTTTCCGAACAAAGAATTCTTCATGGACAAGAAATTTTTAGGCAATAGTCCACTTTATTTAGTTAGGCATTAGTCCAAGGAATATAAGCCATAAGCACTGTTAATTATTTTTTGTGATATGCAAAATTTTAATATTATCTCCTTTTTTTTCATATTACAGTAACCAATTATAACCTCGATAATCTTTACTAGACGTGTCTTGAGTTCTAAACATTGAAGGGTATGACAATGCACCCTAAACACTAGAAAAAAAATAATCGATCTTATATTAATTTTAAGAGTACGTGGAAATGCATGTATAAATATGAGATCCTAATTCGGCCACTTGTATTCCAATTTCTAATATTAGTAATAAAATATTGAAGCACGGTGCTTCTATTTAAGCAATTCTTCCACTAAAAATTTCTCTCAATTTAAGCAGAGACGTGATTCTTGGAATGTGGACTCATTAACTCCGAAGGATGATCCTAATGAATGTGCCCATACAAGCATCCTCGTTCATTGACTTTTGAATAGAGTTAATAAAAAAAAAAAACACTCAACCTCCACACCTTTAAACGTATCATGTCCCTTCACGTCACAAAACACCGATCCCAACCAAAACGGACGGTCATGATGAATTAGGTCATGACAAGTAAGCATCCTTAATAAAAGCGGAAGAAGCTTTTACTACAACTATAAAAACATACGTGCATTCGACCTTGCATGCAAATCCTCACTCTTCTTCTCTTTCGAGACAGTTAAGCCAAGAGAGAAAGGGGAGAGAGAGAGAGAGTAATGGCGTCGTGGAATTCAATTCCGCTGGAAATTACATACCAAACAGTTGGATGGATTGCTTTCGTTTTATGGTCTATCAGTTTCTACCCTCAAGTTTTCTTGAATTTCAAACGCAAAAGGTAATAAGTACTAGCTCCTACTATTCTTTTTTTTCTTTTTGTGTAAATAATATATTAGCTTAATCGTTTTGTTTTGAGAAACAAGTTAATTAGTATTTTTATTTTTAAAAACTAATTATTTAATTTTTCTGTTTATTTTATATATTATTTTAATTTGTTTCTTTTTTGAATAAATATCATTGAATTATCGATTATAATTTTTTGCTTTGTTTTGAAATAATGTAATATTATATTAATCCTCGTTAATATTGATCAAATAATTAAATTATTAGTTTTTTTTATTAAAAAAAATTAATTACTTCTTTCTTGAAACTAAAGGAAATAATTTATATTTTACTTCAATTATCCATTTTCATGCATCTCACTATTTTTTTTTAATATATAGTGTGGTGGGGTTGAATTTCGATTTCGTGGTGTTGAATTTGACGAAGCACTCCTCATACTTGATATACAATGCTTCTCTTTACTTTAGCTCTGCTATTCAAAACCAGTACCTTGAAAAGTATGGCCATGAGCAGGTAATAATGGTTTCCTTTATGTATGCCTTTTGTCTTCACTTCACTGTTTCTTGTCACTTTGAGAAATTAAAAAGTTTCTTTCAGCTTCTAAATTCATTAAATTAGCAGAACAATCTCAGTAGTTTTTTATTCGGGACAATTCTGACGACAGTTCCCCTTCTATGTATAAGTTTTATGCTATAGAAAATAAGTTATAGCAAGACCTTTAAGAAGAATAGACAAGGTACTGATTTAGAAGTTGCTATACGTGCATGAAAATTTCGTTACTCTTTGAAATGGGTTGATTTTCACAAGATTTATGAGACCCTTTTGTAACCTCGAGGAAATCACTTAAAAAAAATGATTTCCTTAAGATTTAAGACTTCATGTAATTTGGGCCCAAGATGGAGAGCCAAATCATGCTAGGAAATTCTGTAGAAAAAACACTTGTTGGCATTATGATATAATTGATATAAATAAATAAAATTCCATCTGTTGAAGAATTTCTGGTGATTTGGTGTTCAAGGATGGATATATATACTTGTGAATGCTTATTTAATTTATTGTCTTTTACATCCTTGCAGATGATACCAGTAGCTGCAAATGACGTTGCTTTTTCAATACATGCTGTTTTGTTAACGGCAATTACATTGTTCCAAATTGCAATATATGAAGTGAGTGATTTAATCTTCTTTAGTGTGAATATTTTCCTTTCTCCCCCGACAAAATCCTGATGCATTTATTCTTTCCTTTGAATAGCGTGGAAATCAAGCAGTCTCTAAGATTGCTATAGCAATCGTCTGTGTTGTGTGGATAGTTGCTGCAGTATGTACTTTTATAGCTTTGCCCCGCCACTCCTGGCTGTGGCTCATCTCCATCTTCAAGTAAGTTGCTCTCTTGGTGTTTTTGATGTTTACATCCCAAATTTATTTGAATAACGCATACTTGGTTGAATATCTTCATGAAAAAAAATATTACGTACACATGAGATGACATAGTTCAAAGATTCTTATCAATTCCACACCTTTTTTTTTTTTTAATTTTTCACACACTGGTAGATTTCTGAATAGCATCCAGTTAAAGAAAAGCTTCTCGATCAACTCTCACCAATGCTTTAAGATGCCTCTTAAAATTGAGCATATGCACCATTAATTTTAGTTTGATACTACTGCCTGCATCAGATTTAGGTCTCTGTTTTCAATCTTTTTGTGCATCAGTAATGTAGACACCCCTGCAATTGGTCACTCTTCAGTCGGTTTCCTGACCCTTTCTTAGATCTGTTTATGTACATGGCTAATATATATTACTTCTTAGAGAGTGGAATTCCCTTTAACTACTTTAGCCATAGTTTTTTGTTTATATTGTCTATGAATATAGATACGTCGATTAATTGTTGAAATTTCTTTCTAATCTTCTGTTCTTCTAATGTTGTTGCAGCTCAATTCAAGTTTCTATGACAGTTATCAAGTATATTCCCCAGGTTAGAATTGATTCTTATTTTCCGTATTCAAGTAGTCCAAACGGGAGACTAATTGCTATCTACTCTGGGAAGCAAAACCTAATTGACATATTATAAAGGGCTTCAGGGCTCAGACAGAACTCATTTCAAGCTCACTAGTAATATCTATCACTATTCACGCACGCAGAACACAAAGCTCACCACCCTTCACACCCCAAATACTTAAAGAAGAAGAAGTGATTATTTTAATGAATATAAGAAAACCTCTTAGTATGACGTTGTTGGTTTTGATTTCCATGGGACATTCAAAGTTTGCAACTGTTTAGTGTTTACCATCTTGGATCCTTATATATGAGGATGCTATTTATAAGGGTCTGTTATGGTTCTTTATCCTTGTAACACAAGAGAAGCTGTATGTTCTTGGCTTTCTAGAGATTTTGCTGCTGGTTTGTCTGCTGAACTGATATTAATTCACTACTGTCGCACAGAACATATGATAAATATATTCAGGAGAGAACCTTTTTTTTTTTTTTAATGAAATCATCCTTTTTATATGATCCTTGAGATTGACTTCTGACATGAAATGGTCCCTTCAATTTATTTGTGATTGCTTTTCAATGCAGGCGGTAATGAACTTCATGAGAAAGAGCACAGAAGGCTTCAGCATTGGGAACATTTTACTTGATTTTTTTGGAGGATTGACAAACTATGCCCAGATGGCTGTACAATCTATAGACCAGAGTGCGTTATCTCTTCCTCAACTGGATAAGATTTTCTTTTTGAATTAACGCTTCATGTGATGCTAATTTAATGTCATTGTCTTTTCCAGATTCGTGGGTAAACTTTTACGGCAATATAGGAAAGACACTGTTGTCTTTGGTATGGAACATTTCTGCCATTATGGATCATTATGATATCCGTTTCTAAACATCATCAGCCATCTCATTGGTACTGTTTTTGATATAATGCATTTTGCAGGTGTCCATATTCTTTGACCTTCTCTTCATGTGTCAGCATTATATCTTGTATCCTGCCAAGAAAGCTTTGAATTCTCCAGAATCCAAGTCTACTGAGGATCGACAATCAGAAATGTGTGAGGTTTAGTTTGCAAACATATTGACTGTATTAAGAGGAAATATGCAATTCTTGGAAGATCAGTTAAGAGGTCTCTGCTAGGCCTTGGCGGCTTCAGAGTCTTTTTTAGTTATATTGATGTTCTGATTAAGTTTTTTGAGTCCTATCTACTTCTATCATATTCTTTAAGAAGGAAATGCAGTGGCTGACTCTTTAGCCAAACGATAGTCTTCATAGACACAATGACCTTATAGAAGGAAATAGGTAATTTTTTTTTGGACCGAAGGCTTTTTTAGTGTCTTCTGTTTTGGTATCCAATAATTGCTTTCTAATGATTTTTTTATCCAAGTTTTGATTTTTTATTTATTTTAGCATCTACCTTTATCCGAAGTTCAATTTTGTTGACATGTCTCGAGAGCTGCCTTGTGGCAATCAAAACTTATCACGTGGCAATCAATTCTAGATACATCAGTACATCACGCTCTAACATGGTTGTGGACACTCAAATAGAAAAAATAAATCAAAAGATAGGTATTGAAATAGAAAAAAATTTAAGATTGGGCACAAAAAAACAGTTTTTTCAAGAAATTTATTGTCTCAAGATTGCAAAATCAGTTCAACAATTTCTAATAAATATTTTTTATATCATGCTAGTAGCCTTTTTTTACTTATCAAATGTAATTTTTTAATACTCTCTATTAGTTAAAAAAATTACTTTTGAAAAATTCTAAACCTTTTAAGTTATCTAGACAAAGTTAATAGTATGTCTAATCCATATATATATGAAGTCTTATTATGAGTAAATCTAGAAAAACAAGACATATAATATCCAATTATGATTTCTATTTGCATAACAAATAGTTGATCAATGGATAAATTTACAAAAAAATAAAAATTGCTTTGTTTGTCTAAGAAGAAGATCGACCAACATATAATAGGTGACATAAGCTTTTATAGCCAATAACTTGTTAAAATTTTTATAATAGGATGAGATGAGATAGAATCGAGATGAATAAGTTTAGTGATCAAGCTTTTTAATTTAAACGTTTAAAGTATAATATTTTTGGCAATGGTGACAATAATGATAGAGATAATAAATAAAGTATGAATTAAGCTAAGAGATGAATGCATGTTAAAATTGCTTGTGCAATTAGCATAATAACAAGAAAATATGCATGCATGTAATTGTTGGTGTTTTTAGAATTTAAAGTTATATGACTTTCAATATCTTAAAAGAAATTTTGATATATATATATATATATAGAAGCACAAAATATGCATGAAATTATTTTATAATAAGAAAAGGATAGATCAGAATACAAGAAGTGGATAGACATTTGGTATGAAAAAAATGAAATAAATTTCTTGAGAAAATTATATTTTTGGTGTCAATCATTGATTTTATTTTATTTTTTTCTATTTAGATGCCCAATATTTATTTATTTATTTTTCATTTCAATGCTTAACTTTTGATTTTATTTATTTATTTGAGTGCCTCCAGTCACCTTAGATCATGAGATACCGATGTGTTTAGAGTTGACTACTACATGACACGTTTTGATCGCCACTCGATAGCTATCATCGAACACATTAGCAAAATTGAACTTTAGGTCAAGTTGGGCACCAAAACAAATAAAAAATCAAAGCTTGAGCAATAAATCATTAAAAATCAATGGTTAGGCATAAAAAAAAATTCAAAGGTTGGGCACCAAAAAAGACTTTCTCTCGTCTCCTAATTATGAGGGTCGAAGTCATCATAATATTTGCAATTATGTGATGTAGGTTCAAGTCATAGTAGAGTTTTCAAAATTTTATAGGTCGAAACCATCGTAGGTTTCCCAATTATGTTGGTTGAAGTCGTCATAGACTTTACGGTTGTGTGATATGGGTTGAAGTCGTAGTATACTTTTCAAAATTTATATGGATCAAAGCTGTCATAGATTTCCTAATTGTGTGATGTGGATTGAAGTCATCATCATAGACTTTCTAACATTATGTGGATCGAAACCATCATAGATTTCCTAATTATGTGGATTGAAGTCATCGTAGACTTGATAATTGTGTGTTGTGATTAAAAGTTATAGTAGAATTTTTAAAATTATGTGGGTTGAAACTATCATAGGTTGAAACAATCATGTGGGTTGAAGTCATTGTAGACTTCTTAAAATTATTTGGGTCAAAACTGTCTTAGGTTTTCCGGTTATGTGAGTTGAAGTCGTCATAGACTTTCTAATTTTATAATGTTTGTTAAAGTCATAGTAGACTTCCTAAAATTTATATAGGTAAAAAAAGTTATAAGTTTATCGATTATATGAGTAGAAATCATCATAGATTTTCCAATTGTGTGATATGGGTTCAAGTCATAGTAGATTTCTCAAAATTATATGGGTTAAAATTGTCATAGATTTTCTAATCACTTTTTGGTTGATGACATTGTAGACTTCCTAATTATGTGATATAGGTCAAAATCATCATATACTTCTCAAAATTATATGGGTAAAAACTATTGTAAGTTTCCCAATTATATGATTTAAAGTTTTATAGAATTTTCATTTATGTGATATAGGTCAAAGTTGTTGTAGACTTTTCAAAATTATGTGGGTCGAAATCGTCATAGGTTTTCCAATTATATGGATCGAAGTCATTGTAGACTTTCTAATTATATGATGTGACTCGAAGTCATCATAGGCTTTCCAAATTTATATGTGTTGAAATTGTTATAGTTTTCCAATTATATGCATCAAATCCGTCATAGACTTTTAGATTGCCCGTTGTGAATTGAAGCCATTAGTGGCTTCGCATCTTAAATATTTCATACTTTTTTACTTTAGATTAAGGAAATAGGCTTTCGACCGACCTAAATCCTAAACTACTAGATCAACCTATCCTAATAGGATATATTCACTAGAATAGGTATAGATTAATAGCATAATAAGATCATATTTTGACATTTAATGTGCATGCAATGTAACCTACCTCAAATAGGATGTGGTGGTGGTAATTTCGATCTTCACCATTCATAACCAACCCCTTATCTAAATTTCTATATAGACCACTCATAGACCTATGTGAGGTACTTTTTAAGAACTTCGATAGAGTCGATTGAGAGGTATGTCAAAGAGAACATTATAAGAAGGACGCTCTCATTGATTTGCCTAAAGGAGTGCTTACATAATATCATGAGGCAATGATAAGGTATAACAAACCCTTAAAAGAATTTAAAAAATTAGGCAAATTATCATAAAGCTATAGTCAATAGTATAGTGTTGAGAGACAAGTCAAAAGTTAAAGTGTTAAGGCCACAACACTATGCTAGAAAACAAGAGGCTAAAAGTTGATAACTTATTCGGAAAAGTAGAGCAACACTTTTAGGCGGTTATTTTGATCGAGGATAAGAGTAATATCAAGATTGTTATTTTTTACATAATAGAGGATTATGCTCTATAATGGCATATTAAGCACCAAGAGCTAAAAGACATGAATCATGAGCTACTTGGTTGGGTTAAGTTCAACAAAGTTATATATGTCTAGTTTAACATCAAAGAAGCTGATTGGAAAGCACCAAACTAGTTATGAACCTTAAAATGCACAAGAACTATTCATGAGTATGTTAGAGAATGTCTCTCTTAAACTTCAAGTATGTGGCAAACCTAACTATGATCATATGTGTGACTTTATTAAAAGACTTCCACCATGGACATAACCAGATTATGAGTTCAATGACCTAATACCTTCATCGAAACTATGGCCACAACTGAATTCTTAGTAAAGTAGAAGAAGAAAGGTGAACCATTTAGGCCTAAAAAAAAAAAAATTTAAGGGTAAATATAAGGGAGCCCAAGGAAAGAAAAGATATAAAGATAGGTATGAAAAAGGATATAAGTCTAAAGGTTTTTTCAAAGAAAAAAACAAGAAAGAATTTAAGCCCAAACAAAACTACTTTTGTGATGGATAACATTAGTGGTAAGAATGCCCTAAACGGTAATCCCTTAATGCCACGATGGGAGAGAATAAATGCACTTTTGAGAATGAGAAAATAAATGAGGATATTATAGCTACTCAATGCCCTAAATGTCAAAACCTTACACAAGACATCGCTAAAGGATAGGCTAATATATGTGGATATGGATGTGAATGGCAAGATCATCTTTTTCATGCTAGACATTGATGCCGCACATAAATTTTATCTAAAAAAAAGTCTAAGAGACTTGGTTTGCTAATGATCAAATCATTTAACAATATAAAAATAGTGAAGGTTTCCCTTAAACCTACCAAGTGGCATGACATATGGGGTAAGCCTTAGCATCAACACATTGAAGGAAATGTTAGGTTTTATGTTGTTGTAATAGATGACTTCAAAATCGTATGAGCAATGGAGTTTTGCAAGCAAGCCAAAACTATGCCTACACCACGAGTTGGAGTAGATAGTAATCCCGAAGAAAAAGACACATTAATAGTAGATTTGTTCAACTAGTTAAGCAAAGCTTAATTTTACATTAAGCTTGACTTAAGATTGAGGTATATCAAGTTTGGATTGGTACCGAAGATGTACTAAAGACAACGTACGTGATAAGGTATCATTATTATAAATTCCTTGTTATGCCATTAATTTGGTTTAATTAATGCACTATCTACCTCCTACACCTTAACGAATAAAGTATTTTAATCGTGCCTAAATTAGTATGTAATGGTCGACATTGATGATATTATGATCTATAACTCAATGCTAGAGGAATATATAGACCACATACATATTATGTTTAATGTACCAAGAGAGAATGAGTTATATGTTAAACGAAAGAAGTGCTCATTTGTAAATAAGGAAGTACTATTCTAAGAGAATAAATTAACAAAGAAAGGTTGATGATGGATGCTTGCTAAGATTAAAACTATCTTAGAATAGAAAGAGTTAACTAAAGTACCCGATCTTCATTCTTTCCTCATATTACTAAACTATTACTACCACTTCATTCGTGACTACTCGAAGAAGGTAGCTCGTCTCACTAATTTGCTGGAAAAAAAAATACAGGAGTAGATTGATAGGTGCTTAAGAAAGCTATCACCTAGGAGCCAATATTAATGCCTTTGATTTTGCTATGGGTGGTGTGTTGATATAAGAACAACATACTATAACATATGAGATTCGAAAGCATATACAATGTAAGAAAAGGACATGAATGCAATGGTGCATTATTTACATAACTAAAGGCTTTATCTATTACGAGTCTCGGTTCGTGGTAAAGACTAATAATGTAGCCATGGGTTATTTTCAAACTAAAAAATATCGACACCAAAGTAAACTCATTGGAAAGAATTTCTTATTGAGTTTGACTATTGAGTATAAGTCATGCAAGACCAACGAGTAACAAATGCTCTTAGTAGGAATGATGAGTTATATCATATGACGCGAGTAGATAGAGAGGTTGTGGCTAGGATCAAGAGAGGAATAAAACAAGATCCTAATGCCAAGAGTTTGATACCTATTGCCAAATAGGGTAAAACCCGAAAGTTCTAAGAAAAAAATGGCATTCTCTATACAAAATGGAGGATAATCTACATTTTTAAATGGTGAAACCTTTGATGAGATCTAATGAAGGAATGCCATAAGTCGATGTGGGCGGATCAAATGTATTAATGTATTGTTAGAGATATACTTGAGTCACTATGTGAGTGCCAACCAACGAGATTGAGCTAAGTTGTTGGATGTTACCTAATTGTCTTACAACCTATAGAATAAAGCAAGATCCTATCGCGAAGAGTTTGATACCTATTGCCAAATAGGGTAAAACTTGAAAGTTCTAGGAAGAAGATGGTGTTCTCTACATAAAAGGGAGGATAATCTACATTCTTAAATGGTGAAACCTTTGATGAGATCTAAGGAAGGAATGTCATGAGTCGATGAGGGCGGATTGAACATATTAATATATTATCGGAGATATACTCGAGTCACTTTAAGAGTGTCAACCAACAAGATTGGGCTAAGTTGTTGGATGTTACCTAATTGTCTTACAACCTACAAAAGAGTTAGTCTATTGGCAATAGTTCATTCGAGATATTTATGGGCTAACAACCTCTTACTCCAAATACGAGTGGTGTTTGATGATAAGTATCAAGGGAGCAACCCTACCATGTATTCATTATTAGCCAAGGGACGATAAGAACATGCAAATCTAACCTATATGTATTTTAACAAGGTACATTAAGAAGATGAAGAAATGGACTTACAAAAGATAGAAGGATGTGAACTTCGACCAAGAGATAAAAGTGAAGTTATTACTATAACAACATAAGGAATTTCAAAAAGTGCAAAAAGGCCTAATACATTGATACAAAGGATTGTTCAAGATAGTGCATAAAGAGGGAGAGGAGTCTTATCACCTAGAATTGCTACCAAAATTGAAGATCCACCTAGTGTTTCATGTGAGTATGTTAAAGCCATATCACGTAGATGATAAGGATTCAAGTTGAAAAGTTGCTCATAGGATGTCTACAACATTAGCTAACTTATATGCGAAGAGGTTGATATCATACTTGATAACTATGTAATTTGATGTCATGGATTGCCATCGGAGAAAGAGCATTTTGTGAAATGGAAAGAATTATCAAGAAGCGAGGCTAACTAGGAACCTACAAAAGCATTATGGCGAGTTAACATGAAAGAGCGAGGAGTATCACAAAGGCACAACAAAAGTTTTGAGAGATTAGATGAGAGAGGGTTACACCCATCAAAAAATAGACAAATTGTTGAGGTTAGAAGAACTGTTCGAGAGACGCTAGAAACTTGGAGAAAATACTAGATAGACTTGAGAGTCTCTAAAACATCGAAGAAAGCCTTTATACTATTTAAAAAAAATCTAGACATGCTCTAGATAATTATAGAAAGTCTCTAGATTATTGAAGTGTATGCAAATTTAAAGAGTTCCTTGTGAGCATCTAGAAAAAAAATAAAAATTAAAGAATTGATTATAACGATTAGATCAACTTGACCCTAACCATTCATTTAAAAGGTGAAGACCTATAAATAAGTGAGACTCTCATTTGGTCAAATCATCAATAATAATAATAATAATAATTTCTAGAGCTGTAAATATTTGAGAGCAATACCAAAAAAATTTCATAGTATCTTTCTTGTTTAACTTCTGTACTTAACCACTTAACACGACAAAAAAACTAAATTCGATTTAAGTGAAAAATGAGCCAAATGCCTCTAATTGAGCTTGGAAAAAGACCAAATGCCAGTCGATGAGCTTGGAAAAGGACCAAGACCATGAGATTATGTACCCTTGAAAAAACAAAACCAACAGCAAAACTAAAGAGAACAAAAGACCAGACAAGTCAAAAATCTGTAAAACAAAAAGAACTGATGCTGTAGCAATGGATGTTAAATTATACATCTCAACGGATCCATATACCGGAGGTAAAAAAAGGAATTCGCGAAACTAATAAATTCAGAAAAGCAAAAGGAATTGATAAAAATCAAGTAAAAGAAACGAAAATCTGATACACAGGCATCATTACAGTATCTAACTTAATAAGCCACTACTCTCTCATCTGCATCAGTTCTTCACGCCACTGATTTGTCACCAGTAATTTCTCTATTATACTCTTCAATACAGGCGCACTTACCCCACACTTCTGATCTGCAAAGCAGGATCTACCTTCTTCAGCAGCCTTGCAAAGATGTGGATCCAATGGTACCTTCCCAAGAAAAGGTACTCCCATCTCCTCGCACATTTGGGTTGCACCACCACCGCTGCTATCAAATACTTCACTGCAGGCAATCAAGTCTAGCATTTCAGGAGCTTTCTCTCTCATATACCCTAAAATTCTTTCTGTAATATCATTCTGTTCACCATTCTCTGTCAACTTCACAAACCTAAAATCTGTCAGTCGCTGGCACAAGCCACTCATGTTCTCAACAACCCCGAGAACCTCTACTCCAACTTTCTTGCAGAAACTCACTTCTTTTCGCACATCAATTAAAGAGACTTGTTGTGGAGTCGTGACAATAATTGCACCATCTATTCCGGTAGCCAGGAGGAATTGGACAATTGAGATGTGCTCATCAGAAGTCCCAGGTGGGGCATCAATCACTAGAAAATCAAGCTCCCCCAATAAACATCCTTCAGAAATTGTTTGATAAGCCCATTTTTGCGGGGGCCTCTCCATATGACAGCTTCATCTGGGTTCGGAAGCATGAATCCAATAGACATGACCCCAAGGTTTGACTCAACATAGACAGGAGACCAGCCAAGGTTGCTTTGGTGAATTTCTTGACCTTCTAGGCCAAGCATCTTAGGGATGCTTGGGCCACAGATGTCAATGTCCATAAGCCCAACCTGGAAGTCCATAGCTGCTAGTGCGTATGACAGTTGAGCGGAGAATGTGCTCTTCCCGACTCCCCCTTACCTGATAAAACCAATATCTTGTGCTTCACAGTAGCCATACGTTCTTCAATTGCAACCAAGTCTGCAGAAACCAATATATAAAACATTAAGTAAAGCGCCTGATTTTGAGTTGAGACAAAATATGCAAATAAAAGAAGAACAACTATCAGAACAGCTCTTTCCTACAATTTCTACTGTTAGTTTCACATGAAAGAATTAGAACCAAATACAACAAAGAGTCTAGGTTAGCAAAAGACGCAAGTATTCACTCCTTCACTTATTCAGTTACAAATACTAATACAATCAAGTCTTCAATTTAATGGGACAAGATAACTAATGAGGTTCAAGAAGAAAGAGATTGCAACGAATAAAATGTCATAGACTTTCACGTTTTACAGATCAAGAAGAAAAACAATATCTGTTGACATTCATGCGACTTCAATCGTTCAGAGCAAATATTTCCATGAGTTGTCAACCAAAAGCGAAGATACAGAATATGTCATTCAAAGCCCTAATCATAGGGCAAAAAAAAACAACTGGTTTAAGAATATCCAATGTAACTGTCAACTGACTTATTTATTTATTTATTTTTATTCTCATTCAATTGGGGTAAAACTTCAAACCAGGTGATGTAAGATATTTAATGAAGCTCCTATATAATTCTTGTTTTCCTCAAGAGTTTCAAATCAAGAGACCAACTAATGTTGTTTTTTTTTTTTTTGGCTGATAAAAGAAAAAAAAATCCGTTAGAAAGAAACAATCAACATATTTGAAGAGGAAATAATGCCCCTCCAGAACTAAAAAGAAGAACAGAAAGAACAATAGCCTGCCAATTTCAGTGAATATCAACTAAGGAGACACTTCAAAAGATTCCAGCAACCAAAGTTCATTCTTATGCTGAAAGAAACTATCCAATCAAATTTTAATTGCCAGAGAGAGAATGACTGCTAAAAGACTTAGCTGTCTAAATATCCCAAGCATCACATCTCCATTTAACCTTGCAATCCATCTTCCACAAATTCTCTCAAATACTTCAATAAACTCCATTATATTCAGGACCAATCATGCTTCACCAAAGAATCTATTCCATTGATCCTAAGCTACTAGGCAGCATAAAAAGCAGTACTAGTACTTATCATATCAAATGAACATCTGCAGAAAAGGACTTACAATGCCTCCTTACTTGCAACAAATCTAAATACATCCATCCAGATAGAAACTCAAACCCTGGATGATATGTTGGTTTTCCAAATAATGTTATGAAGAAAAACCATGAGAAGTTAAGAAAACAAATTAAATGAAAAATTAACGAGCCCCTCTAAAACTTTAAACCCTACAATTTGACATTGAAGTGAAATGAAAAGATTGAAGAATCCATAGCTATGACAGAAGATCTTGTACAGGCCTATCATTTCGATGTCTAAAATAATCAAAACTTCAAGAAATTTATCCCACCTCCACATAGTAAAAACTACAGGATATTTCATTATCTAGCCCAGATAGACAATAAACATGGAAAACAGTCAACAAATGGAACTCATGCACCTGGAAGTCCTTCCATAAAAAGAATTCAAGAACCACAACCAGCTTAATGTTCAGTTACAACACAACTTTTCAATGTTTAAGCGTTCAGATTTTAGGGTCTTCCAAAACACCAACCAAACAGCAATTAAAATGCTCCTTTCCACAATAAAGACACCAACAAGTTAGTTGATAGCGAACCTATAGCCAAAACTACATCAGAAGCCCAATAAGAGCTGCAAGATGGAGGTTCCACCACCTAAGGAACCAACTATATCGATGTCACCTATACTGGAGGACAACCAACATTAGTACTTGTTTGTTAGAGAAAGTAACTACCTAATACTAATGAATAGAACCTATAACTGAACTGAGTTATGCAAGAAATTCAAGAGGTAATTTCCTCTCTGTAGTGAAATTAAAAGTTATTCAAGCCAGTACAACTCAAAATTGAGACAGGAAAATTTAAACCAAAGGAAAGCGTCAATTCCTATACTAGGCAAGTTCAAAAAGTTGTTACTGCAAGTAATTCGAAGCAATCCTAAAGCCGATCTCGTATCATCCTATCCTATGTATAGCAAGTAATATCACATGCATCAATCTTCAATTTTTAGCTTGAAAGGGAAGAAACAGAAATGAGAATCATATAAGAACTGCAAAGTCTACAGGCAAGTATGAAACGAGAGGAGGAAGAGGGAAAGAGACCAGGGTCGGGGCCTTTAGGGGCAGTGGCACAAACTTCTTGATTAGGGCATCCTTGACAAGCATCGGATTTCCCAGCTGAGTCTGATTGAGTACCTGGGCAATCTAAACAAAACCAATACCAATACCATATTTTGATAACACGATTAAAACCCACCAAAAGGAAAGGAAAAATTAACAGAAAACGACGAGAAAAACACATACGTTCATTAGCGTTTTCTGGGATTTCACCGTTCTCCATTGATGCTGTGGCTTCTGTAGCTGCTGCTGCTGTTGTTGTTGGCTTTTTCTAGCTGTTTCTTATTTCGTCCGGGAAATAAAATCAGGCAAACGCAACGCAAGCAAGCATCCAACTTTACTTCTTCAACTTGAAACGATGACGGTGCGTGTTGTAGGCATGTTAGCAGAAAAGTCAAATAACGATAGAAACTTTTTTCTTAATCCCAGTTTGGTACCTCAACTTTCTAGCTATGGAATCTCACCCCTCCGTCTAGATTCCATTCAAATTTTGATTTTGACTTCACGTCACAAATCTTAATAAAACATGACACATGTTTTTGGCAAAACAAGGAGACATATATGCAAAAAAAAACTTGATTCACTAAGAAAAATAGAAGAAAATATTAAACAGTAAGATATGCATTCATTTTATTTTCATTTGAATTTCAATGAATTAAATTATTTGTGTATAAAATTGTTAATTTTTTTCTATTTAAATGTGTCAATTTTATTTTTTGTTATTTGGGCATATCAAGTCGTAATTTGTTCTTCCTATTTGAATGGTTTCGTTAACTTCGTTAAATTTATACTTATATGCACGTGACATCAACTTTTGTTACAAAAAATTTTATAGTTTAACAAATATTTATGTTAAAAAAATTCTATTACGAAAAAGAAAATAGATCAATCAATAAATATATAGAATTAAATAACTTTGTTAACCAATCTATCTTTTTCAGGTCACTCTTTACTTCAAATTCAAATTTAATTTCAATTGTCATCTTTTAAACAGACCACCATTCTTAGCTTTTTTTATTAGAATGAAAATATATCATTGCTTTGGTGAATAAACACTATCGATAGTTTTTATTTTTTATTTTCAATTATTTTATATATATATGGTTATGTTTAAGTAATTTTTTTTTTTAGCTTTTATGGTTATATAAAGTTACAAATATATGATTGTTGTAATGTAATTTTTTTTATTATTATTTCTATTTGAAAATGAGAATGGATCTTTGCATTTTTATTTTTTATTTTTTCTAATTATCATGTATCTTGACAATAGACTCACATGATTGTCTCACGTGTAAAGTTAACGGACACATCGGCTTAGAGTTAACAAAATCATTTAAATAAACAATAATTGCAAGTTAGTACTCTCAAATATCAAAGATTAAAGTTTACGTACTTAAATAAAAAAAATGATAAGTTTGTAAAATAAATATGTAATACATTTTTCTATTTTAGTTTCAACTAGTTTAACAATGGAGCCTACATTTCGGTGCTATGTATGCAATTAACTGTTATGTCAATATAAAATTAATAAAAATTGACAAAGCTACACAAATAAAAAAAAAAATTGTAACTTGTTATAGTCAAATAATAAAAATTAAAGTTAACACACGTAAATAAATAAAAAAATAATAACTTTATACCCCAAAAATATAATTAACTCATTTGAATTTAAGCATAGGAACAAAAGTAAAGTAAAAAATCCATCTTGATCAGCGCCTGTCCAATATGCAAAATTATCATGGCTGGAGCTAGTAATAGAATTTGACATTGCTTAAATTTTTAAGAGAACGAACCGTTTACATGTTACCAAAAAAATAAAATAATAATAATAAAAAAATCATATTTCATCATGTGTTTGATATTTATAATATGTTTCCACTATAAAAAAAAAAAAAAAAAAAAAATCATAATCACAACATCATATACAAGCTAACACAAATCCTAAATGCAAATTTTGAGTTTTAAAGGTAATAATAGTAGAAGAAGAAGCGAAGAATAAAGATCACCCAAAAAAAGTTAATGTTGTAATCAATATGATTTTTTTGTCTACTCTTTGCAAATTTTATATCTTATTTGGTTTAATGGAATGCTGATGCTGTTGATATTGAATGGATTTCTTATAATTTCAAGATATGAAAGCCTATTATTCTGCTAAAAAACAAAAAAAGGACTAAGCCCAAGCATAAAGGCCCAGAAAGAATTCTGACAACCTCAGGAAAAGTGCCGAAAAAGCAACAAATACAAGTTCAAGCGCAGGCCCATAAAAGTAAAATCAGGGAAAGTGATGGAGAATCGGAGATATTCGACCGCGCGTGACTTCACACGCCGGCCTTTATATTGCAGCAATGGTGTTGTAGGGTTCGCGGGTTGGCGGTCTTCGACTAAATTTTTATTCCTTAGCCATAATGATATCTTAAAATTTGAAGTTTGAATTCAGTCTCTCTCTCATATATATATATATATATATATATATATATATATATATATATATATATATATATTAATCATAGGACTTAGATATGAGGAATCATTGGATCCTGCTTTTTCTTTTCTTTTTTTAATTTCAGTTTACTATCTTGTATTTTAATGGGTATCATCTACCTTAAAATATAATATCCTAAAGTCCAATTTTTGTACCTTTCTATCATTGCACTCTACGATCATGTCTTTTAATGGGCAAGGATTTGGAGTCATTCTATCATTATTTAATTTTTCCTAAACAAATTTTTGTACTAATTTTATTCTTTAAAATTTGAAAATTTTGATTAAATCTTTTTATTTACATCTGATCATTGAATCCATCCAAATTATGTTTTTAATAAAAAGCGATTTTTTTTTTGGGAAAATTAATGCTTTCTATTAAGGAATTTTAATTAAAGGCTTCAATTGAAAAACAAAAATTATTACAGACAAAATTGATATTAATCCAATTGATGGGAATTTTCAAGATTGTTATTATTTTTTTTTAATAACAATCCTTACAGTTGATTTTGTGGCTTAAATTGAAGGACATGTGGCATAATTTATGTTGTAAGAGTATATGAAGCTGTAGCAGATCATATCATACCCAATTGATTTGCAAAATAAATTAAATAATCCTTTTTATTGAAAAAAATAATTAATTAGTTTTTATCATAATTAATTTAATATTATTTTATTTTAAAAATATCTTTTTTCTCGTAAATCTTTCTAAATTTTTAACTTTTTGTAAAAATCAAAATAAATCAAAAAAATAAGTTATAAAAAGATTTAAAAACATAAAGACAAATTAAACAGGTTTTTAGTTAAATAGACGGACCAATTTATAATTTACTCTACATAAGTAGACCGGGCTAAGAAGAATTGTGAGATTTTGTGCAAGAGCAAAGGCAATGGTAAATTGGGTAAAGTAAATTATAAATTAGTTTTTTTCTAGTTTTGAGAAATAAATTAATTAGTCCCTCATATTTCAAAATTTAATTATTTAATTTTCTTGTAATATAATTTTTTAATTAATTTTAATTTTTGCTGTAAAAAATTGAAAAAGGAAAAGAGAAGTAAAAATATGGAAAGATTGATGAGAAAAAATGACATATTTTAAAATAAAATAATATTAAATTAAACATAATCAATACTAGTCAAGAGACTAAATAATTAATTTTTAAAACAAAAGAGACTAATTTATTTTAAAAAATATGAGAACTAATTATAATTTCCTTTTATTGGGTGTAGTGGGATTTTGGTACCATGAGTGTCGCTATCCGACATTTAGAAGACGTTTAAAAAATTTGTGATAAAACAAAAAAGAATTAAAAAAATTTTGATGTCACCACCGAGTATTGAAGGTAATTAGAAAATCTAAAAACTACAAATTCATAGATTCAGATTAAAAAATTGGTTATACTTTTTGGAAAGATAAAAATCACCCAAAAGCATTATTTTTTAGGAAAAGTACCGAGTTTAGTCTAATCCTACAAATATCTCCAAAAAATTATGTTTTTATCAAATTATTTTTTTAAGTCTATTTTCAAGTTTATTTATAATCTATGTCAAATTAATTTTTATTTTTTATTTGTGACATCGTATTAAATTGATGTCGGGCTTTTAAGATTGGGTGTAGTGGGATTTTGGTACCATCGTTGTCGCTATCCGACATTTATTTATCATCTATTTTCAAGTTTATTATTTTAAAATAAAATAATATTAAATTAAACATAATCAATACTAGTTAAGAGACTAAACAATTAATTTTTTTAAAAAAAGAGACCAATTTATTTTTAAAAAATATAAGAACTAATTTATAATTTCCTTTTATTGGGTGTAGTGGGATTTTGGTACCATAAGTGTCGCTATCCGACATTTGGAGGACTTTTAAAAATTTTATGATAAAAGAAAAAAGAATTAAAAAAAAATTTGGGAGTCACCACCTAGTATTAAAGGTAATTAGAAAATCTAAAAAAGACACAATCATAGATTCGGATTAAAGAGTTGGTTATACTTTTGGAAAGATAAAAATCACCCAAAAGCATTGTTTTTTAGGAAAAGTACCGAGTTTAGTCTAATCCTACAAATATCTCCAAAAAATTATGTTTTTACCAAATTATTTTTCTAAGTCTATTTTCAAGTTTATTTATCATCTATGTCAAATTAATTTTTATTTCTTGTTTGTGACATCGTATTAAATTGATGTCGGGCTCCAAGATTGGGAATCGTATCAATTTAGCATCGGATTCAATTACGTCCCGACATGATTGACATGTAGATGAATGACATGATTAGTTAAAAGTGTTTAAACTGATTGGTACCTATCCTAGCTAATTTCCTTACGTTTGTTTTCTTTTATTGTGGGTCGACCAACATTAGTCCCTATTCAAATAAAAGACTCGTTAGGTTGACTTAAATTTTTCTAATTACCCTAAGATGATGTGTTATTTTCTAATTGCAAACTAAGTTCGATATGTGATCGTCATCGGTTCCTAAAATCTAATAGGCTTAACGATCTCACATTTTGCTAAATAAATTTAAGAACTTCAATAAGTAAATTAAATTATAAGCGGAACATAAAATAATTAGAAAAAATAATGAAATAAACAACAAAAAATATCTTTTTTTTTCTAATTTTTAGACAATCTATTAGTTTATAACTTTAACTCTCTTAAAATTTTCAGGTTTAAATAAGGTTGGACAATGGACCAAATAATTAAATTTAACACAAACCTCTCTAATAATTAAAATAGCCGCACA